AGAAAACGAATGATTTGTTTTGTTGCCTTTGTCCTCTCCCATCAGGATGAGAGGGGCAGCAGGGGTGCCGAGCAGGAGGTCAGGCTGCAGGTCCTCGGGCGAGGAGGCTGGGGTCCCCTCCCCACATGAGCACCGACACGCCCACGCCCTGGGTGCTGAGGAACAGGCAGGGGAAGAAGAGCTGAGAACACAACATGGAGGAACTCGGGTCCCCGTGCTGCTGGGGCCAGCAGAGCCCCAGGAAACCACGACATCCTCCAAGGCTGCTGCCGACACAGAAGTCCACGCCACTTCCTCAGAAACCCCGCTCAAAGCTCGGCCAAGGCCAGGGGGCGGGTGGGAGGGGGAGCGAGGGCTGAAAACGCCTCCGGATGACTCCTGCTTCCCAGAAGGTCTTGGCCAGGCCTGCCGGCCATCACCTGTCCAGTCTTGGTGAAACCTGAGACCACGGTGAGACGGTGACAGGCAGGGCAGCGGCCCTCCTCCAAGCCAGCCTCTGGTCCCTCCCGGCAGGTGGAGTGGGCGACCAGTGCTCAGACAGGCGCTCAGTGCAGGCGTGCTCAATCAGTAGGAGGCCGTCAGGGCCTGACCCCCAGTCGGCAGGCTGCACCCCGGGGGAGCGGACGCTCAGGGGAAGAAAGGGTGCTTCACGTGAGCGAGGAAACCACACACCACATCGCTCACGCAGGCCGAGATTGGGGCATTGTCTGGCTTTGAAAGCCCCCAGATTTTATTTTGCTAAAGCTTGCAATTTCTTCTGTGTGAGTGGCACGGAAAGTCTGTCTGCAATGGAACTTGATTGTATCCAGCTGCCACCAACTGTTCCCAAGCTGCGCAAACGACAGCTGGCCACGTGCCACCCAGTTCAGGCTTTGTCAAATAGAGGAGTGAAAAAATAAATAAAGAGGGGGTGGGGGGTCAGGGGCTCCGGCTCAGAGAAGCAACGTCAGGGGCAGCTGGGGCAAGGAGAGTTTCTGAGGCAGTGACAAGGATGGGGGAAGGGGCTGGCGTCAGCTGAGCAGAGTCCAAACGCACGGTCAGGGCCACGTTCCGGATGCAGTTCCCCGGTTCAGTCAGGCAACAGGGACTTCCTGGGAGCCTGGGAGTACTGGGTCCTGCCGGGGACCATGGCCACTGCCATGGGAGGTATCTGCAGCCAGAAAGCAGCAGAGTAGTACATGTAAAAGGGGAGAAAAACTACATAAAATACGGATCAGCCCTGGCCGGTTTTGCTCAGTGGTTAGAGCATCGGCCTGCGGACCAGAGAGACCCGGGTTCGGTTCCCGCTAAGGGCACGTACCTTGGTTGTAGTTTGTCCCCAGCCCCAGGTTGGGGTCGTGTGGGTGGCAACCAGTCGATGTCTCTCTCTCACATCGATGTGTCTCTCTTCCCTCGTCCCTCCCTCCCGCTCTGTGTGAAGATAAATGCAAAAATGTCCTCGGGTGAGGATAAAACAAAAAAATGCAAAAAACACGGATCAGCCCTGGCTGGTCTGGCTCAGCGATAGAGCGTCGGCCCTCGGACCAATGAGTTGTGGGTTCGATTCCGGCCTAGGGCACGTACCTTTGTTGCTGTTCGTCCCTGGCCCTTGTCAGGGTCGTGCAGGAGGCAACCTGTCAATGTGTCCCTCTCATGTCAATGTCTCTTTCTCTCCCCCTCACACTCTGTCTGAAGATAAATAGAAAAATACCCTCCGGTGAGGATTTAAAAAAACAGTAATAAAAAAACAAAACACGGATCATTTCTAATACCCTAAAGGTGAAGAACCACATCAAGGCACCTTTCAACAATCCCAACTGTTAGCACAGGGCTGGCGGTTGCCGCTTTGACTCAACAAACACACGTGCGTGTCCTACGTACGCACTTTTAAAAAAAAATGTAAAGCTTAACAATTTAATACTTAGTTTTTAAAATCTATCTTTACTGTCATAAGTATCATAGATGTCCCTCCATTCTCCCCTCATTATGTCCATTGGTTACGCAAATGTGCAGGTAAGTTCTTTGGTTTCTCTCTCCGCACCCCAGACCCCCGCCCTCTGAGGCTGTGTCCCCTGCTTCCCCGACACACTTTCCTTAGCAAGTACTTGCCACGTTCTTAGGTTCCACATGTTGACATCTGGTGCAGCCACGGCGAGCGGCCACCTACCCACACACCTGCAGGCTGCCCGCAGGACGGCCCCTCTGTGGCCACACTGCTTGCACTGGCTGCCACGGGTATTATGGGCTGGGTCCTACCACTTCTTCCCATCACCATCCTCTGAAACCGACCAGAGAACCACCAGTGAAAACGAGCCCCCAGACACCCAGTGTGGGAAGGAGGACAGTCACAGTCACTTCAGCCTGACCTCTGGGTGTCACAGAGCAACTGCAGAGGTGATGGAACCTGTCCGAACCCCCGCGCTGACTCTCGGCAGACCCGACTGGAACAGGGCCTTGCCCTCAGTCTGGTCCTCGCTCCACGGGGAGCCGGGACCCCAGCCTGATGCCAGCTGGACCCTGCCTTCACCCTACGCAGTGGTTCTCTGCCTTCCTAATGCCGCGACCCTTCAACACAGGTCCTCGTGTTGGGGGACCCCCAACCATAAAATTATTATTTGTTAATCCTCACCCGAGGACATTTTTCCATTTTTTGTTCAGATAGAGAGGGAGGAAGAAAGAGAGAGAAACATCGATGTGAAAGGGACACATCGAGTGGCTGCCACCCGCATCACCCAACCAGGGCCAGGGACAAACTGCAACCGAAGTACGTGCCCTTACAGGAACCGAACCTGGGTCTCTCTGGACTGCAGGCCGACGCTCTAACCGCTGAGCCAAACCAGCCAGGGCCATAAAATTATTTTCATTGCTACTTCATAACTGTAATTTTGCTACTATTATGTCTTAGGCGACCCCTGAGAAAGGGTCGTTCTATCCCCAAAGTGGTTGCGACCCGCAGGTTGAGAACCGCTGCCTTAGAGCCTGCTGTGGGCAAAGGCTGTTCAGAGTAAGCACGTTCCACACCCGTGTCCGCGGTTCCCAGGTGCCCGCCCGGACGGAGCCCGCCGCGCGGCAGGGCCCCCAGGTGCCCGCCCGGACGGTGCCCGCCGCGCGGCGCGGCCCCCAGGTGCCCGCCGCGCGGCGCGGCCCCCAGGTGCCCGCCCGGACGGAGCCCGCTGCGCGGCGCGGCCCCCAGGTGCCCGCCCGGGACGGAGCCCGCCGCGCGGCAGGGCCCCCAGGTGCCCGCCCGGACGGAGCCCGCCGCGCGGCAGGGCCCCCAGGTGCCCGCCCGGACGGAGCCCGCTGCGCGGCGCGGCCCTCAGGTGCCCGCCCAGGACGGTGCCCGCTGCGCGGCGCGGCCCTCAGGTGCCCGCCCGGACGGAGCCCGCTGCGCGGCGCGGCCCTCAGGTGCCCGCCCGGACGGTGCCCGCTGCGCGGCGCGGCCCTCAGGTGCCCGCCCGGACGGAGCCCGCTGCGCGGCGCGGCCCTCAGGTGCCCGCCCGGACGGAGCCCGCTGCGCGGCGCGGCCCCCAGGTGCCCGCCCGGACGGTGCCCGCTGCGCGGTGCGGCCCCCAGGTGCCCGCCCGGACGGTGCCCGCTGCGCGGTGCGGCCCCCAGGTGCCCGTCCCTGCTGCACGGCACGGCCCCCAGGTGCCCGCCCGGACGGAGCCTGTTGCGCGGCCCCCAGGTGCCCGCCCGCACAGCTCCAGAGGGTCTGCGTCACGAAGAGCAGCGGCTGCACCTTACTGACGGGCCTGCACCGGGGCGTGATCTGCTTAGGGTTTGTTGTCTTGCAAGACTGGCTCACTGGAGGCTGGGGAACTGGTTAGACTGTTCGAGTCCAGCAGAACCGGGTGGCAGAAATCCAAACATATTTCAGTAGAAAATCCAAGCAATACGCCTGAGGGCAGTGGTGCCGTCTCTGGTTTCCTCCAGGGGTCCTCACTGATCATCACCCCAGCTCAGGAGGTGAATGTACCCTTCATACGCCCGAACAAGTCTTTCCCTTTTATTCTCAGCTGGGACCTGCTAGACGTTCCCAGCAGAGCTGACGGCCCGTCCCACTCACCGGCAGGTGACCTGCACGTGCAGAGGACAACCTGCTGGTGGAAGTGAAGAGAAGACTGGGGTTGGGATCTCCCCTTTTAAAAACCAAAGGGAAAGAAACAAGACATAGGCAGGACTCACAAAACCTTGTTATTTTATTGCACCAAAATCTTGGCAACCTCGGGGCTCCCCGGCCCCCGGAGTGGAGGTACAGAGTGCGGGGCGCAGAACTCAGAGGCAGCAGTGGCCGAGACACCTGACAGGCAGCCCCGCCTACAGACTCTGGCCCCACCCCCCACTCCAGACACAAAGTTAAATCAAAGCCAGATTCTACGTCAGCCCAGTGCCGCTACTATAAAAGCCCTACTATTCACCTATGTTTATATATGTACATGTCACCTACAGCTTGGACTGGTTTCTGGGACTGCCCCTCCCCATCTGTTTGGCCGATGAGGATGAGGAGGAGGGCTTGTCTCTAATAAACGCTGTCTCGAGTCAGGCTGGGGCTCAGCACTGCCCACGGCATCGAGTCCATTCCCTCAGGAAGGCTCACAACTACACTGTGGGGAGGAAGGCCGTGACCAGGGCCAGGCCCGCGTCCCTGAACAGTGTGCCAACGGCCGAGGCCAGGCCCGCGAAGAGCGAGGGCTCCGGCCGGCGTCCACACAGCCCGCTCGCTCTCTCTGCGGGGGCAGCAGCCGCCCCAGTGTGGTCACGGTGCCCCCCACGTCTCTAAAGAGAAAAGGAACACAGGAGGGAAAACGATGACAAGTCAGCCCGCTTCCCCACCAGAGACCCTGGAGCAAGGACAAGACCGCTGAGCGGAGAGGCGCGGGCCAGACCAGGGCACCGGTCAGCCTCCGGCCGGGAGCCTGCTGAGGACGGTGCCACAGCCCGTGGCCCAGCTCCACGTGCGGCGCGCCCGGAGGGAGCCAGACGCACGCCGAGGGGCGACTTCCAGGGTTACTCCGACACCCTCTACCACCGGGGCGTTTGTGTTTTGTCTGGAAGATGTACCCTGACTGAGGAGTCCCCAGGATTATTAAGTTGCAAGTTCACAGGCACAGCTTGAGCGAGACAAAAGCGACCTCCTGGGGTTCGCGGGCACCGGCCTGGGGAGCACGCACGGAGCACGCCACAGCCCTGCGCCGGGAGGAGCGGCCGGCCAGCCGCAGGGATGGCAGTGACCGGCTACGTTGGCAGCACAATAAGGGCGCGCTCTGCCCCAAGGCCAGCCCCTGGGTAAGGACACGGGCACTGCAGCCGCAGGGGGAGGTCCGGGAGGTGCCCTCAGCCGAGCAGCCGCCCGATGAACACCCCAAACAGCCGTTCCTGGAGAGGGTCCAGTTCCCTGCAAGGGACAGGTGCACTGGTGGGCAGCCTTGGGCTCTGGCTTCGGAGGGGAGACAGGTAAGGCAGACAGAGCCCCGCGGAGGGGACAGGGAGGGGCAGGAGGGCAGTGCCAGCCACCAGGAGCAGGTGAGGGACGGCTCGCCGAGAAGAGCAGCCAACCACACGGCCACCCCAGGGCGCTCGACTGACAGCGTGGCCGCTGTCCTCCCCTGCTGTCCAGCCTGGCCGCCGCCGCCCAGGCCCCCGCTGGTGCTGCTGTCTCTGCGTGTCGCTGCAGTTTGTCAGAGGTCCTGATCCACAGGAGCCGAGTGTCTGCGTGCCACCTCCCGCGGCAGGCCCACGGTGCAGGGCCTGGAGGGGACCAGCCAGGAGTCCACACGGACAGCTCCCAGGAGGCAAAGCCCCAACTCCGTGAGTCTGTGGAGCAAACAACAGTGTTCCTGACAGAGCAAGGACACCCTGAGAGTCCCTGTACCCACCCTCTGGTGCGTGTCCAACAGGGAACCACTCGGGGCGGGAGATGGAGTGGGAAGCGGCACAGTCCTCCTCCGTGAGTGACCACTGTGAACGCCCACACGCCATACCACCCGCACACCACACTGGCTCGTGTGCACACTCACACGCACGCGCGCGCACACGCACTCACATGCACGCGCGCACACACACCCGCACCCTACCCGATCTATCTCACGGCAGCGGCTCAGCGGCGGTAGCTGAGGCTGGCGGCCTTGGCTGGATGAGTCACAGACCAAAAGTTCCTTCTATTCTGAAGTTTCTGGAAGGCGTTAAAGTTTCTTCTCTTTTCTCTCTTGAATTTCTTAATTTTCTTTTCCTATATCGAAGATCACAGGTGTCACAATTGTCAAAGAAGGCCGTCCCTGGTCCCAGTGGCTACTACATGGGACATGACCCTCAATGCACCATGTAACCAACACTCACTCCTCCCGTGGCCTGTGGGAGGCCACCACGGTCCCCACACCCCCCACCTCACTGATGGCGGACAGAAGCAACCAGGGACCATGCTCTGCCCGGGGTCACACTGAAGCAGCCAAGCAGCCCCTGAGCCGGGCACCTGGCTCCAGTCTGGACCTCAACTACTTCGAACCGCCCGAAAGTCAAGCCCTCCCTGACCTGCCCGAGGCCGAGCTGCTCCGAGGGCCCCAGCCCACGGTCTCGGTCACACGTACCTTCCCACGATCGAACTCTTCATCCCAGAAGTCCATCACCGTGGCGGCGCGGGCCAGTCTGCTGTCTCGAATAGCGTCCTGGCTGACAGCCGACACCTCACCACCCCACGTCAGAACTACAACAGACACGTGATTGTTGGCACCTCCACATTCCCTGCAACCCCGATTAGCCTTTTTAAAAACGTCACTTTATCGGGGTTACACCGGTTAACAAAATTACGTAGGTGCTAAGTGTACCGTTCTATGACACATCTGTGCATGGCCCAGCCCCCAAGTCAAGTCTTCTCCATCGTCACCCCTTACTGTCTCCCACCCCTCACAAAGTGCCGGTGTTTTAAACCCACAGCCTCATCTGGAAAGCCCTCCCGTTCTCTCTCCAAGTCTAATGTATGAAAGAAGCTGCGAGTCAGAACTCACACTCGGGTGCTGGGTGAGTGTTTCCTCCCCGCTCCCGGCCTGGCCTGCTCTCTCCTGCCCCAGACCCAGGGAGACTCTGCTCTGGGTCCTGCCAGACACCCACCCCCGCCGCAGGGACCCGGGCCTGACCTCTGTGCAGGGGCTGTGAGGTCGAAGAGGACTATTCAGACCTCTCCCGTCCTCAAAGCCAGAAGACCCCAGGCGCACCAGGACCCACTCGGACGCCTCCACCCCCACCAACCGAACGCCCAGGCTCCAGACAGCACCTCTCTTCCCGTAGGCCTTGTCCGACGAGTGCTCGAGCAACTCCCAGACCACGTCGGAGCCGCGCTCCTCGTCCCAGGACACCGGGGGAGCCTGTCCCAGCCCTGCGAGCACACACACACATAAACGTATGTTTAAAACACCACCGAGGAAGCCCGGCTGGGTAGCTCCGTGGGGTACAGCATCGTCTTATGTGCCAAGGTTGCAGGTTTGAGCCCACGGTCAGGGCACGTATAAGAATCAGTCAATAAAGGCACAAGGAAGGGGAACAGCAAACCCACGTTTCTCTCTCTCTTCCGCTCCTGGAATCAGTGAGGAAGACCACCCACCACCGAGGAAACGCCCACCCCTCACTCCGAGTAGAGCTCCGTGTGCTCAGCCCCTGCTGTAAAGGTCCAGCCCGGCCGGTGTGCTCAGCGGTTAGAGCATCAGCCTGCAGACGAGGGAGTCCTGGGCTCGATTCTGGCCAAGGGCACGTACCTCGGCTGCAGTTCGTTTGGGGTCGTGCGGGTGGCAACCAATCAATGTCTCTCTCTCACGCTGATATTCCCCCCCCAGAAGATAAACATAAAGATATCCTTGGGTGAGAATTAAAAACAATAACAGTAACAAATAATAATGATAGAGAAGGTCTAAAAGGGAGCTCTCCCCGCCAGACAAGGGGCCGGCCATTCAGTCCCCTGCAGGAGGTGGCCCAGCCCTGCTCCCGGCTCGGTGGCCTGCGCAGCCCCCTCGCCCCGGGCCCCTCCCTGCCCGGGCGCACCTGTGCGGCCCCCAGGACCCTGGCCGCTGACAGCAGGCACAGGGCTGCTCCCAGGGGCGGCGGGGCCCCCCTGCCTCCCGGTGCTCCAGCCTTCAGGGAGCTCCTCCCCGTCTCCCCGCCACGGCTCCTGCTTTCTCTCTCTCTTCTCCTTTCTCCTTGGAGTCGCTGCCGTGTGCTCCGGCTCCACGGCGTCCGAGGGAGAGAAGCCCCTGGGGAATCAGTCAACAGTCAGCTCCGGCAAACCAAGCGTGAGACAGCCCTCCCTTCAACTGCACATACCACAGCCCTGCAGTCACCCCAAGAATCACCCCGAGTCTGGCCCCAGGGTACAACAGGCTGGCTGTCCGTGCCGCAGCCAATCACGGGGGCGCTGGAGCTCCTGCCAGGAGAGCCCCCCAGAGGGGTGTGGCCGCCCTCGCTGCCAGTCGGCAGCTGCAGGAAGGCAGGCTGCCCACCCCTCGCTCTCACCTGTGCCCCGGTGGCTCCTGGTGGCAGCAGGCTTCTCCCTTGAGGCCCTGCACCCCCTTCCTCCGCCTCTTCTTGTTCACGTGGGGGCCGTCTGCCCTGCACCCCGCTTGCCAGCCGTTCACCAGGCCCTGGCCATTCACTGGCTGCTGTCCACCCTCTTCCTCCGCTCGGGCCGCCGGCGGCTCCACCCGGCCCTCCTCCTTGCGCTCAGGGTGCCCGTGCTGCCCCTCCTGCGGGGGGCAGGTGTCCGAGTCCCCTGAACGCTTCCGCTTCTTCCTCCTCCTCTTCCCAGGAGGGGCCACTGCTTCCCCGACCTCTGGGCCCGGGCCCTGGACCTCGCCCAGGCGCTTCCTCTTCCTCTTCTTGCAATGGCCCTGGGGGGGCTCGCTGGCCTCTGGCAGCTGGTGCGGAGGGGCCCAGAAGCCCCCGTTGACCTGAGGCAGGGGAGCAGAGGCAGAGTTCGGGGGGCCGGGCATCCTGAGAGCCTGGGGGCTGCTGGGGAGCGTGGCGGAGTGGGGGCCGAGGGGGGGCGTCAGGTGGCTGGAGGGTCTGGGAGCAGGCGGAACAGCCCTGTGAGGACAGGCAGGCAGTGAGGACAGCCGTTCCGAGGCGCAGCCCACCCTCAGCCCCCTCCCTCCTGCGAAGGATCACCCCTAGGAATTTCAGATCACATAAACTACACCCAAATTAAATCGACGGGCTAACGATGAATTCAGATCTACTTAAGATAAAGTTAACAGCAATCATTCCATCCCTCTGTTTCCTGCAACCAAGCAGCTCAAAGTATTTCTGCAAACTCTAATGTTCTTTTTTTTTTAATTCACACCCAAGGACATTTTTGCATTTATCTTCAGATAGAGCAGGAGGGAGAGAGGGAGGGAGAGAGAGAAAGAGAAACATTGATGTGAGAGAGACACATCAACCGGTCGCCACCCACACGACCCCAACCAGGGCTGGGGACAAACCACAACCGAGATACGTGCCCTTAGCGGGAACCGAACCCGAGACTCTCTGGTCTGTGGGCTGACGCTCTAACTGCTGAGCCAAACCGGCCAGAGCAAATATTCTTAACTTTCGACACAAACATGTTGAGAGAACAGCTGCACGGAGCACACATAGATTTCCAACCTCCGCGAGTCTCAGATACTCAGGCCGAGGGAGGGGCCCAAAAGAAAGGCTACCACCGGCCTGCACATCTTCAACTATCCTTCTCCTTGGCTATTTGGGGCTCAGGGCAAAAGGTTTTGCAGGTGGCTGATGTGGCAACCCAGTGAGCCAGGGACGGGTGCAGAGCCAGGCTGGGTTGGACTCTGACCTCCGTCCTGCTTGCTGTGTGACCCCGGAAAGGTAACTTTACTCTCTGAGACGTTCCCACCTGTAAGTGACTGATCAGAATGCCTGTCTCAAAGGGTCACTGAGTGAACAAAACTGTCACTGTCGCCATCCACACCAGAACAAGCTGCGGTGCTCATGCAAACGGGCCTGCGCCTCATGAAAGTGAAAGTAGAAACAACTACCCGATTAACGTCTTGAGTGTTTAAGGACCTGCCACGTGCAGATGTGCTGTGCTAGTGACATGGCGTGGACGTGAGGGCAGGCAGGCCTCGGCACTGGGGAGGGGACCCACAGAGTGCCCCCCCTGGGGGCACATCCGCCCCACAAACACCAGCCTCACCTCCTACCTTCCTTCCTCCCTCCCTCCCCAGCTACCAAAGGCCTTTGGCAGCCACGTCAGACAGCCATTCATCAGAGCTTCTCAGCTTCCTGCCACTCCACACACTGCAGATGAGCAGAGCAGTGCAGCAGGCTGGAGGGGGGCTGGCCTGGGGGGAGGGCCCCTGTGGGGGCCGGAGCTCCGGCAGCACACAGAACGGTGCCCCTGCTGGAGAAGCCCTCTCGGAGTGGGCGGTGCAGGACAGCACCCTCCTGAGGCTCGGGCTACAGACACAGCCCACCCCACTCAGAGACGAGCCGGGAAGCCAAGTCCCAGGACTGGACCCACTGGGGTCTGTCTGGAGCTCCCGCCCTTCTCTCTTCCGGTGCCTGTCCCGGGTGGGGGAGGGCTCCTGGCACACCCGTCACCACAGCCGGAGAGTGAAGACAGAAGGACAGGGATCAGGGCTGCAGAGCGGACGCCTCCGAGCAGCCGCCCTCCTGGAGCAGGTGGAGCGAACCCGGTGCAGACAGCGCCCGCACCTGCCCGCCGCACACGGCCTTCCTGCGGACCTCGGGGAGAAGCGGCCGGCCCGGGGCCAGAGCCCAGCTTACCTGGCGGCACCGGCAGGCCGGGCACGGGCGACGGCGGGGTGGGTGGCTCTCCGGGGGCAGGTGAGGTCGGAGAGTGGTGGGAAGGGAGGCGCACGGTCAGTGCCGGTGGCCCTCCGCAGGGTGCTGGCCTGCAGTTATTGACATAAATAAAAACTTGGTGGTCTAAAAAAGGTTGCCGTGTGTGGAGAGGAAAAGTAAATGTAAAAAACAAACAAACAAACAAACAAACAAACAAACGAAAATGAGTCCAGAAAGCAGGATGAGGGGACAGGAGAAAAAAAGGGGGAAGCGAGGGGTGGGGGTTGGTAGAAGAAGAATCAGAAGTGTTTTTGGTTAGAAACAAAAAGGAAAAAAGGAAGGATATTTCAACAAAAGCCCGAGCACAGCCATCCACCGTGGAGCTTTGCTACAGAGGTGCCCGTGCCCGTGTCCTGAGGACGCCCGAACCCGGAGCTCCCCGCTGAGCCCAGCCCCCCGCCCTCCCTCTGGGGCTGCTTCCTCCACAGACAGAAGGAAGACCCGCTGCCCCCCCCGCCCCACGCCCCCAGTCTTCATCAGCTACATGGAGCGACCCCGGGAAATGAGAGTTCCCTGACCCGCCTCACCCCAGGGCAGCCCTTCGGATCTGCGGTGCCCAGGAGGGCTAAACAACCTGCTCCCCCAGATCCGGGGAGGCCCAGGGTCCCACTCCCCCAACCAAACCTCGCGACCCTCCCCAGTGAGACTCCCACACGCACCTTCTTGGCAGAGAGGGCTAGTTTCTTCGCTGGCGGAGGAGACATGGTGTTTGTGGGCTCGGTGGCGGTACTGCCCAGGCCAGGGCACCGCGGCTTCACCGCCTTCGCGTCCTCGCCGTTCAGCAGGGCCCTGGGCGGGCCGGCGGTGGAGGTCCTTCCCTGAGAATCACAGCAGCGGGCGGCTCCGCTCCTGGGGGGTGGGGGCGCCTGGGCGTGCTCGGGGCTGGAACTGCTGGAGTGCCCCCCGTCGAGGGTGAGGCCCTCAGGCCCATGCCCACTGGCAGTCGATGTGAGTGGGAGCCTGGGTGAGGTAGAGAGGACAGCGGCCCTGCCATCCCAGGAGCCTGGCCTATGGCGGTCACACCTGCTGCCACTCGGGCCGCTGGCACCGTGGAACCCCTGAGAAGTTTTGAGGGGCGGGGAGAAGTGCTGTAGGGGAGCCGACTTCTTGACTTTCTTTCCAGGCTCGTCCAGGATGGTTGGCAGGGGCGTGGGTGTTCTGGAGAGTCGGGGGAACGGGGACCCCAAGGGTGGCTTTGGAGAAACGTGTCCGTTCTGAGACTTCGGGCCGGACAGGAAGCCGTGTCTGGATACGGGCACCCCCGTCTCTTCCGCGGCCTGCAGCTTCCTCAGGGTCGTGGGGTCCGGTCTCTGGAAGACAGCGGCAGGGGCTGGATCAGAGGGGGCTCTCCCGGCAGCGAGGGCAGTGCGTCAGCGGCGGCGGCGCCCCGAGAGCAGCGGCACGCTCCTGGCCACGCAGCAGCCTCGCCCACGGCGCGCCCACAGCCACCTTCACTGCGACCGCACTACGTTCTCATCTCGACGTGAGAAACAGCAAAAAGTCTAAAGGAGAACAGCTGCCACAGTTCCACCATGCAGACGTGACACTGATGACCTACTGGTGCCTTCTCCTCTGGGCTTTTCTGCCCGCTTTGGCCGCTGTGGGGGAACCGGTCCCTTTTCCTGGATCCCTAACTTATGCTCAGTAAAGGTCTGGAGCATTTGACCAGCCACCATCTCATCCGTGGAGAGTTTACTAAAGCCACATTGTCCCCAGTTGTTCCTGGAATTAGCCCCAACACAGGAAACCCTCCCCTCCCCCTTCACAGGCCCAGTACCATCTCCACCCGGTGCCTAACCCACCGGTGTTTGCACACCGCCCAGGGCCCGCACGGAGATGTCGCCCATCGGCCCTCCCGATCACTTCGCAGTCTGCGAGCCTGCGCTCACAGGCGGTTTGCTGAGCGAACAGGGAAAGACTGGGTGTTTGCACACCGCCCAGGGCCCGCACGGGGATGTCGCCCATCACGGCCCTCCCGATCACGTCGCAGTCTGCGAGCCTGCGCTCACAAGTGGTTTGCTGAACGAACAAGGAAAAGACTGGGTGTTTGCACACCGCCCAGGGCCCGCACGGAGATGTCGCCCATCACGGCCCTCCCGATCACGTCGCAGTCTGCGAGCCTGCGCTCACCAACGGTTTGCTGAACGAACAGGGAAAAGACTGGGTGTTTGCACACCGCCCAGGGCCCGCACGGGGATGTCGCCCATCGGCCCTCCCGATCACCTCGCAGTCTGCGAGCCTGCGCTCACAAGCGGTTTGCTGAACGAACAAGGAAAAGACGGGCTCTGTTCCCGTATGAGCACTCCGTGCCCACCCCTTAGATAAGGAACCGCTGGGCCGTGCACACGTCCGCGGACAGGCTGCAGGCCCACGAGCTCTATTTGTCTGGCTCCCGTCACGCCAACACCGGCACCCTCTGCATGGGGACGGGGTGACTTTAAGTCACTCGAGTGAGTCCCGTACATCGCTCATCACTTTGTCAGTAGTGAGCTCAACTTTTTCAGTAGGAAAGTTCAAATACAAACAAAAATAACTTTGAGAGTATTTCCCAATTGTTAACATTGTGCCACATTAGCATCCTCACCCTCTCTCCTCGATAAGTACATGTGCCTAACCACTTGAGTAAATTTAGACACAATACTTTTTCACCCCTAAATAAGTGCGTGCGCTGCTAAGAACAAGGGTGTTCTTGTAACCCACCCACAGTGCGTGATCACGTCGGAAACCAACACTGGGGACACCCTCACTCCACATGTGAGCACCGACCTCCCGCGTGCCTCCGGCCAAGGGTCTGCGCGAACCCGTCGCCGTGCTCTGCGTGGCAGCTGGTCTGAATCGGACACAGTGCGACCGAGTGTCATGTGCTGTCATCACTGTCCCTTCCTCCTGCTCAGCCAACGTCAGCTGACGACCAACTTAAGCGAGAACATGGACTAAAACAGGACAGGCTGCCTGCCTCTCCGACCATCGGGCCAAGTCCCCAGCCTGCAGAGCTCCGGGCTCCACGACCCCACGGGCGCTGCGTGCCGGTGTGCTAGGCAAACGCCCATCCTCTGGAAGAAGTACCTTTCCGGTCAGCGGGGATGACACGGTCCCATTGCTGACATTCTTCTTGCCGTGGTCAGGAGCCACACCAGGGCGGCCGGAGAGAGAGGAGCCTGTCCTGGAGACGGGGCCCTCAGGACTCTTCTTGGAGCCTGGAATTCTGCTGAAGAAAGAAAACAGGTCAGGGATTCTCTTACTAACGTTACAAGTCATTACAGAAACTCAGTGTGAGAAGGAACAAGAACAAACCCAAGTCAAGGTTACAATTCCATTAAAAAAGGTCAGTGTGCCCGGCTGGTGTGGCCCAGCGGTTGAGCGTCGACCCTGCACCAAGAGGTCACTGGTTCGATTCCCGGTCAGGGCACACGCCCAGGTTGTGGGCCCGATCCCCAGTGGGAGGCAAGCAGGAGGCAACCAATCGATGCTTTTTCTCATCGATGTTTCTCTCTCTCTCCCCCTCTCCCTTCCTCTCTCCCTAAAATCAATAAAAAAGAAAAAAGGAAAAGGCAGAAACAGCCAGAGAGAACCTCGACCCTCCGATGTGTCTCTCTGAAATCCCACTTTGCTGTCACACCCACGTGAAGTTGTCACGTAGCCTCAGGGATCTGCTCAGTGTACACGGAGAGCAGTCATAGCTGGAGCTCTTCCAAGACGGGTCTCCATTTATCAGAAAGCAGAGACCCCTCGAAACGTCAAACACACGCGGCAGAGCACGTGTGAAGCTGCAGAGGCGCCTCCAGTCTCCACGCTCTCCTACCTCCAGGTCGGGGACAACCAGCCCCAGGAAAAGGCACCGCCCCAGGGGCTCTGCTGCAGCTCCCCCCACGTCCCTGCCCCCCTGGTCACTGCCCGGGGAGCAGGCACACTGGCCAGCCAGCGCCTGACGGGGCAGTAAGAGAAGGGGTAACTTCCCCGCGATGTTCACAGTCACCTCGATGGGGGCAGACGGAACTCCGCTCTGACCTTCCCTGAGACTCTGGAACCCACTCAACAGCCGGGTGGAGGGTCTAAAGCGTCCCTCCCGGTGGACAGCCACACCCACGGCTGGCGGAAGGGGCGGAGTCCCGGGTGGGGGCGCGGGCAGCGCGGGGCGCGGGCATTACCGCAGGTAGAAGAGCACGTAGGCCTGCTGGTTCAGAACCACCTGGATGTTGCTGGAATGGACCAAGGAATCGTTCATCTGGTACCACTGCCCGTTGCTTGCCTGAAGCGGCACAGGTGAGGAGACAACAAAACCCAAACGTTCCATAAGCCTTACTTTTTAAGAAGGGAACAGAACATCCGCTATTAATTGCCAGACACATCAAGGGCTACTGCACTGGCAACGCCTCTGCGTTAGGATGTCTAACTTGGTCTAACTGAACGGGACCCCATGGTGAGCTCCGAGGCCCCTTCTTCCTGGTGCCAGCCCCCAGCTTTCCTTTCTGAGGGACATCTCAGCAGCTCTGATCAGCACAGTGTCTCCCACCCACGTCGGGCCTCCCGAGGGGTGTCCGGGTTTCTAGGGCCAGGACCCTGGGAGCAGCCCCCTCCAGAGCCTGGTCACGAGTCCAAGAACACCGCAGATCTCGGCAGGACGGGTACCCGTCTCTGCTCCACACACTGAGGCCACGCTGGGTGGGGCCCGAGCGCCACCACAGAACAGATGTGCCGCACGCACAGGCCACCTCCGCACGCGGACGAAACGCCTGCCATGCCCCAGGGCTAGGACCCCCTCTACCACCTCGCTCAGGCACAGCCACTCACCTTCACGTAGCAATAGTAGTGGCCGGCGTGGCAGCTGTAGCCCGAGTGGACCAGGACCGCGTACAGCCCGTACGTGACAGGCTCACCGTGGCTCTGTGACATGTACGGGCGGATGTTCAGGAATTCCGGGTAGCCCACGTCCTGTTGGAAAGGCCAAGAAAAAAGGCCAAGATTTGCCACTGAGTCAGGGCCACTAGAGACACAGACTTCGGCTGGCCGTGAACAATGTCCCTTAGTCCAGGACTGCAAAGCCACAGGCACGACGTGTGTCCTTTCTGAACCAGGGGAATCGCGCTTCCTCTCCCTCCCCAGACCCAGAGCAGGAGGAACCAGGCCCGCGCTGTTCTCAGAAGCAAGGTGCTGGCGCCACACACCAAGGCTGCATAGTCACATTTTAACTGAGGGGATCAGAGCAAAGTCACGTCAAAACTTATTTCAGAAGCTGACAGTTTCTTCATGGGACAGTCTTCTAAACGGTCCTCTGGAGTGACAGGAGCGACGGCCTACCGCGTTCCTGAGCGCAGACCTTCTTCCTAACCGTGGGAACCGCACAGCTCGAGGACTCGTGACCAGCGTACGCTATGACCCACATTCCTGTCACGATACAGACACCCACCCAAAACATTCCCGCGTGTCCCTGTAGGAGCCTTGACCTTGAACCTCCGCGGTCTGACTTCTCTCGCTATTGACTAGTTTGGCTTGTTCTTGAGCGCGACACAGAACAATTTAGTGTGTGCTGCTCTGTGCCTGGCTTCTTCCGATCGTCGTCACATGTGACATTTATCTACACATCCTTTTCCTTCTACCGACAAACTCAGAACCTCAAAGCCGATTTACACCTTGGGCCCACGAGCCCACTGCAATCTGGCCAGATACGGGGCCCTCAGATCAGAGACCGATGTTTCTCACACTGTGTCCGATGGAAACTAGTTCTACGAGCTCCTCAGGGCAAACCGCAGGGGCTCACTCACCACCGACTCTCCCATCGGCTTCCCGGGGCCCGGCACGGGCGGCGCTGTGCAGCGTTAAGTCACAGCTACTAGTGCACGAATGAATGAATGACCCCCAGAGAGTTTAGAAAATTCTTCATAATCAATTACCCTCTGGGAGATTCACAATACTACATAGTTCAATAAAGGCTCTGAGAAGGCCTGCAATTAAAGAGAACTACTGGCAGTTCTGAAACTCAGCTGAGCACAGAATACTTTCTTTCAATGCAGCACTGACATTCTGCAGAACAGCAGCTGGGGAGAGACTGAGGAGCAGCCAGCGAGGAAAGTGAGGCTCAGGCAAGTGCCTCGCGCAAACCACATAACGAGGCCTAACAACCAAGAACAGATCTCTAGACTTTTATGAACGAGACATTTCCTGTTAAAATGCCAGTGTGGCCTGGCCGGTGTGGCTCAGGGAATGGAGTGTTGTCCCAGGGACTGCGAGGTCCCAGTTCGAGTTCTAGTCAGGGCACATGCCCGGGTTTCAGGCTCCATCCCCAGTAGGGGGCGCGCAGGAGGCAGCCGATCGACGTTTCTCACATTGCCGTTTCTCTCTCTGTCCCCCACTTCCTCTCTCTCTAAAAAATCAATAAAGTCACATTTCTAGAATGCCACTGCAGAAAGTGAAAGGTTCTCGGCACCCCGCAGCCACAGCAGGCGTGCCTGTTCTGGGGGAGCTGCGCCGCGCGCGTCCATCACTGCTCTTGAGGAAACGACCCACCTGCCACGTCAGGGGCGGTCCGAGCACGGGCAGAGGCTGGGGGACGCCCAGTGAGAGCGCGGTTCTTGGACTTGCTGAGCCCTAACCACTGCGGATTTGCAAGCATGCGGATCCCTGGGCGTCCGAGCACGGGCAGAGGCTGGGGGACGTCCAGTGAGAGCGCGGTTCTTGGACTTGCTGAGCCCTAACCACTGCGGATTTGCAAGCATGCGGATCCCTGGGCGTCCGAGCACGGGCAGAGGCTGGGGGACGTCCAGTGAGAGCGCGGTTCTTGGACTTGTTGAGCCCTAACCACTGAGGATTTGCAAGCATGCGGATCCCTGGGCGTCCGAGCACGGGCAGAGGCTGGGGGACGTCCAGTGAGAGCGCGGTTCTTGGACTTGCCTGAGCCCTAACCACTGAGGATTTGCAAGCATGCGGATCCCTGGGCCCCGTCTCCCAGAGACCTGGGTTCCTGTCGGGCCGCCCAGCACTGAGACCCCTTCCGTGGGCACTCACCTTGGTGATCTTCCCCCCGCTGAAGTTGGCGAAGCGCTTGAGGGACAGGGTCAGCACGCTGGACGCCCTGTGGACGGTGAAGCGCTTGCTGGCGGGCACCTTCTTCTTGCACCTGAGGAAGGCGAGCGGAGGGTCAGCTGTCCCGCCTCACACTAGGCCAGTGACCGCCACTGCACTGTGACGACGGGCTCTTCTTGGCGAGGCTGGTGGCTCCCGCCCCGACAGCCACTCTGACCCCACTGAAGGAGAGGAGAGCGACCGCAGGGAAACAGGCCAGCGCGGAATAAAGTGTTTCCCCAACTCAGAGGCTAGGGTGCACCCAACGCAACTTCAGGCTGACACGGCAAAGAGCAAGTCCGAGCAGACGTGGCGGCGTGACAGCTGGGCACGCAAGACTCACGGCCAGCGACGCCGGAGACCAGGTGACGAAGGGGAGCAGATGGACAGAGGCAAATGGACAGACAGCTCCCAGAGTGACTGGGTCAGGTGTGTGGGGCAAGTATTTTGGCACGAAATGACCAACCCGAAAAGCAGAATGAAGAAAACTATTCTTTCCGGCTTTACACGACCCAAGCATGCAGCAACTCTCACACCCACACACGGAGGCTGCACAGCCCGAGGGACCGGGGTCAGAGCCACATCTGCTGAAACAGAAAAATGCCAAGAAAACTGAAAAAAACGGCAGCCGAAGAACAGGGTCATCTGAGAGGGGGACAGCAGACGGCCACGGGTAAGGGAAACGGGATCACTGCGGCCCGCTTCCCGCGGGGACTCGGGTGAGGCGCCGGAGCGGCAGCGAGTGCTGAGTCTCGGCCAGAGACCACGGCAGCACGTCACCGTGTCCTGCACAGGCTTCGGTTGACAGCCGGATGAAGGTGAGCGGGGTCACCCGGGGGGCGGCAGGGAGGGGAGAGCGCACAGCAGCGTCGGGGCAGGTGACGCCCGTCGCTGCGGCTCGAGCAAGGGGACTTACTTAGCACACATGTAGGCGTTCTCTCCACTCAGGACGTCTGGCTGCACGAAGAGCTCCAGGGCGCGCACGATGTTTGCGGCTTGCTGAGGACAGAGCGGGCGGATGAGCCGCAGAGGCTCGCTCAGAAATGCCGAGCGTGAGGTCTTTTCAGGCCGAGGCAGCAAATCTCCCTTCGCTTGCAGAAAACTGGCCCACTCGCTGCCACCTCCCGGGACTCAGAGCCCATTGCAGAGGGAGGGCGCAGCTGCCACCCCAGCCCACTGCCAGCGCCCCTCCCGGGACTCAGAGCCCGTGAGAGGGAGGGCGCAGCTGCCACCCCTGCCCACTGCCAGCGCCCCTCCCGGGACTCAGAGCCCGTGAGAGGGAGGGCGCAGCTGCCACCCCAGCCCACTGCCAGCGCCCCTCCCGGGACTCAGAGCCCGGCGAGAGGGAGGGCGCAGCTGCCACCCCTGCCCACTGCCAGCGCCCCTCCCGGGACTCAGAGCCCGTGAGAGGGAGGGCGCAGCTGCCACCCCAGCCCACTGCCAGCGCCCCTCCCGGGACTCAGAGCCCGGCGAGAGGGAGGGCGCAGCTGCCACCCCTGCCCACTGCCAGCGCCCCTCCCGGGACTCAGAGCCCGTGAGAGGGAGGGCGCAGCTGCCACCCCTGCCCACTGCCAGGGTCCCTCCCGGGACTCAGAGCCCGTGAGAGGGAGGGCGCAGCTGCCACCCCTGCCCACTGCCAGGGTCCCTCCCGGGACTCAGAGCCCGTGAGAGGGAGGGCGCAGCTGCCACCCCTGCCCACTGCCAGCGCCCCTCCCGGGACTCAGAGCCCGTGAGAGGGAGGGCGCAGCTGCCACCCCAGCCCACTGCCAGGGTCCCTCCCGGGACTCAGAGCCCGTGAGAGGGAGGGCGCAGCTGCCACCCCTGCCCACTGCCAGTGCCCCTCCCGGGACTCAGAGCCCGTGAGAGGGAGGGTGCAGCCGCCACCCCAGCCCACTGCCAGCAGCTCCGAGCAGACGCTGCAGCTGGGTCTGCTGGGCCTCAGAGGGCCTCGCCGGGCTGCAGAACAGCCGGGGCACCACCCTGCCTCAGGACACACGCCTGCATTTCATCTCTATTTTTTATTACTATTGTCTTTTTAAATATTTGTCTTCATTGGTTTTTGGAGAGAAAGGAAGGGAGAGAAACATAGATGTGAGAGACACCTCCTGCAGGCCCCCACCGGGGATCGAGCCCACCACCTGGGCTTGTGCTCTGCCCAAGAATCGAACCGGTGACCTCTTGGTGCAGGGTTGATGCTCAACCACTGAGCCACACCAGCCGGGCTTCTCTTTATGTTTTAAATAAAAAAATGTGCACAGAAAAAAGGCTAGAAAGAAATATGTAAGATGATGGTTCCTACTTTAAGGCAGGAGTATTCTAAGTACTTCTGCCTCATCTATTTGGATAATGGGCTCTTGTGGGTTTTGTAGTTTAGGGATCCCCTCCCCCCGTCCTCCGCGTCCTCATGCAAACACGGCCATGGTGCGTACCCGGATCTCCAGCGCCACGTCCAAGTAGGGGTCGTAGGTGTCCGAGACGCTCTTACACACTGAGCACTTCACTGCAACAGAACAGAGGGGTGAGGGGGGCGCAGGCATCCCCGGCTGACCACCCCAGGTGTCCGAGTCCCAGAACTAGGAGGCACCCTCAGTAAACCGGTCCCCTGAAACCCTGGCTCTGGGAGAGCTCAGTGACAGTCAGGGTTCACATGACAGCGTATGTCAAAGCCAACGCTGCCCAGAGGTGGGACCCCTTCCCTCACTGACCCTTGACCTCCGCAGCACTCACTGCCCAGTGAAGGGCAGAGGTCACATCTGCGGGACAAGGGAGCCCCAGAAATAATGGTGCTGCCCTCGCTCCACACGTCCTTGATGTTTTGTGGCAAACCTCCACTCAGGAATCCTGTGCCCAGAGGGCAAACACAGGGCAAGGGCGCATCTCAGAGACCAGCCTCCGGGCCTTGGGGGCCTGCCCGGGAAAGAGCCCGCCTGGGCGTCAGCTCTCAGCATTTCCCGGCCGACCTTTCAGTCCTTGACAAGAAGGGTAGGGAAAGTCTCCACTCACCACGTGACCTGAGACAGCCTCCAAAGACCTGATGGACCAAAGTAGTAGCCTGTGTCTGCCGATCCAGCCTGGAGGAGGACGAGCGTCACGCGTGTCAGGACGCAGCAAAGCCGTGCTGCAGCCCGCCCAGTGCCCCTCCCACCGCAGCACCCAGTGATCTGCAGGGGTGCCCCCACAACCGCCCCTTCGAGCCTTTATGGCCCTTCTGTCCCTCTCAGCAGGTGCCCTCCCGCCCATGCCCGCCTCTGTAGCTCACCCACCTCGGCCCCGCATGGCCCCACCACCTCCCGCCTGCCGGGGCCTGCGCAGCCTCTTATCTGGGACGGATCCCCAGCCTGTTCACTAGCCACAGAATGCAGAGCACAGTGCCCGGACGCCCCCGTTCATGTAAGGAAGGTTCTGGAAGCAACACGTTACATCTAGCCTTGGCTCCTGGCTTTCACTTCAACCCACTGACTCTGCTGACTCAGTCCTCAGAGCCACCGAGACCCCAGGACTCGAATCTAATCGGCTTCACAGACTCCACAGGGCCCACCGCAGCATTGGGCAGCGCGGCCCGCTCCCTCCTGGGACGAGCGTCTCCTCCTCCGGCACCTGGCCCCATCTCTCCAGACACCCCTCTGACTCCCAGCCAGGGCTGCTCTCACCACAGGTGGCCGCCCGGAGGACTACACGCACACGCACACACACACGTGCACACACACATGCACTCACACACACACAGCCTCCCGCCACCTGTAAGCATGCTGATGGCACCTCGTCTCACCCTCCTGTCCCGTCTGTGTGACCAGTGATGGCAGGCTGCCCAGACTCGGGGAGCTCACTGAGGAAAACACTCCAAAACATATGGGCACCAACAGAGTCGCCAAATTCCAATTTTGCAAAATTAGGAAATAAGAAATGAACAGCCACCACCTACTGTCACCACCATTCACCAAAGGGACACTGAACTCCAACAATCAGCAAGGACACGAGCGAACCTCGGGGTGGCTCCGCGGGACGGCAGCTGCCCCGGGGCACCCCGAGCCGCTGGCACAGGGGTGAAGGGAGCCACAGCACCTCTCAGGACAGCCTGGGAGCCTCCAGCGCTGAAGCCGACCCCAGCCAGCTACCGTCACAACCCCACCCCAGCCTCGCGGCGGGTCAGGCGCGGTCCGTGAAACCCCGAGAGAGGGAGGGACGGAACCATGGCCCACGTCACAGAAGAAGCCCTCGAAGTGCGCGGCTCAGGTGCCGGGTTCCAGGACACGGCTGGGGAGGTGGCCCGAAGACGGTGATTCTTGGCCAGAGGCAGAGGCAGGAGGCCCCTGGGTGACCGGTGGTGAGGGGCAAGAGGAGCAACGGGAACACTCGGGCGGAACAGCCTTAAGATGCCGCTGCCATCCAGCCTCAGCCTCCACTTCAGAGCGCACTTCCCCCGGCTGCCAGGAGGGGGCGCCCAGGCGAACTGTGCCCGTCACCAATTCATGGGACAAATAAGAACAGCAGACCAGGAGCAACCCCCGTCTGATGGCGATCGGCTTCAGAAAACACGCGCAGAGGGAGGAGCAACAGAATCCGAGAGAGAGAGGCGCGTCTCGGGGTGAAAACCACCCTGAATGAGAAATTTTCAAACTGGAAATAAGAGAAAGTTAATTGAGCTCAGGAAGGACGTGGGGTAACACACACCCCTTCAGAAACGGGGCCCGAACGACAAGGCCCGTCAGGAAGAGCTGCGGGCGGCACCAGGTCAGAGAGGGCGGCCAGGGAGGAAGCCAGCGGAGACGACAAGCAGCCAGCGGCAGGACAATGACATCAGACAACGAGACTAACGACACTGCGTGTCCCCGGGGGCAGGCCCTTCCCTCCTGTCAGTGGGGAGGACCACTGTCCCTGGCGCAGAGGGCGGACTGCACACCCCTCCCAAAGGGTGTCTGGCACCCGTTTTCAAAGCTTGACACTGAGGGCAGAGGGGACCCAGGGGTGGGGCTCAGACACCAGCCGCCACTGCTGAAGGCCGACTCTCAGGCCAGTCACAACAGCTTCCAGTCCACACCTTACCAGAGTTTCTGTCAGTCACCCTGTCACTGGCAAGGGACCCAGTGGGCGGGGGAGGGACCAACAGCAATCAGCTCGAGGGGACTGTCCTCAGGCTCTGGGAACAGCAGCCCAGCCTGGGGCGGCCTGGGGGCTAAGACGGAAGCAGAGGGAACAGTGTAGGAGGAGCACATACAATCCTGTCGGTCCCAACACAACAAAAGATGACGCAGCGGAGATTTAAGAGCAGGGAGGAGCCGTCAGCGTGGCTCTGGATGGGAACGGATGGCCCTGCACCAAGAGGTCACTGCATCTATTCCCAGTCAGGGCACGTGTCCAGGCTGTGGCCCGGTCCCCAATGTTCTCTCTCGTCCATGTTTCTCTCTCTCTCCCCCTCCTTTCCTCTCTCTCTAATCGATAAAGAGAAAGAAAAAGAGCACAGAGGAGGAGGAGGAAAGGACAGACACCGCTAAAACTACAAACCACGTCGGGGTGTGTACAGAGCCGTCCCCGAACCAAACACAGGTCTCCCCAAATGCCAAACAAGAGTTTGAAATAAGCAGAGAACATCAGACAGAGAAGAACCGCCAACACCGCCCACTGCAGTAATGACGAAGCAGGATGCACCGGCACGTGAAGCCCGAGCCGTCACGGCAGACGGGGCCGCAGCCGCCTGCACGAGGAGCGGACTCCACCGGCGGGGGCTCCCGAAGCCAGAGGACCTGGGGTGCAGGAGCAGACACTGCAGGTGGGGCCACTCGGCAGGCAGGGCTGCCCTCGGATGGGGGCGCGGAACCCGGGCCAACGCATCAAATGGACCCAGGACACTGCAACACTAAGAGCTACAAACGTGCACGGAGATTTGGGGTCGCGAGTGTCTAACTGCAACCCCTTCATAAAGCAGCAGCTGTGAGGAGCAGGAGACAGACGTCCAGCCTTCCGGACAGACAGAGAAGCAGGAGACACAACAGACAGACCGCAGCACCACCTCATGGACAGACGCTCGGAGGACTCGCAGCCACACAGAAGACGTACACCAGGGAGACGTCGGACGCTCCACGAAGTAGAAATGTTACACTGTGCTCAAAAGTTCACCTAAAAATCACCGACAGAATCAGAAGACAAACGGCCCTCGGCCCGCGCGAAGTGACGGATCAGGTCGCTGTGGAGCCCAGCCTGCGCCCTCGCCGTCCCTCCTTCACCACCCACGGGTGAAAGCTCCCCAGGGACGGGTGCCTGGCACGCCTGCTCCCCTGACCCGACACCCCGCCGCCCCGCAGCCCCTGCCCGACAGCCACGCCCTGCACCATGCGCGGCCCAGACGACAGACCTGGACTCCTCCCCGCCCTCAGCCCAGACCCCGGCTGCACCCATCCTATCCCCACTGTTCTCCCACCTCCAAGGTGTGGCCGCTCAGCCTGGCCTGGGGTCAGTTAGCTGCGTCCTAGGAGCTCCCAGTGACCCTGCCCTGGAAGCCGGCTGGGAACCACTGCAGACATGCTGCCCACCTGCACAGCACCACCTGCCTCGCCAGCCGCCACACTCCGGGAGACCTGAGCCCGGGTCACCCCCAGGAAGCCTCCGAGGGTGAGGGGCCAGGAGCACGGGGGCGGGGACTCCTGGGAGTGGCTCCCGCCAGCCGCCACCTCACACTCCGGCTCTGGAGTCTCTGGAGTCGGACTCGGCTCTATTCCAAGCTCAGGCAACAGCCACCAAACGGGGAGCAGTTCCTGCCTATTGTCTTTTGTCCGAACCCACAACCAGGAATGACACAAAGCCTTCCCGCAGCGCCTGTCTGACAAGGCACGAAGTCGTCAGGGTCACACGCTTGGTCTACGCTTTCAACTTTGAAACCAGGAAACAGCCACTGGGCAGTGAAATGCCACAGAGCATAACTTCCTACACTCAAATTTCCCCGAGTGCCTTCAATTCTCCCACAAAGACGTTATAATTCCTACCACCCTGTCAAAATAATGGGGTGATCCAACAAGGACGAGAAGCGGCCACAGTGGGGCGCTGAGGTCCGCAGACCCCTCCATCGAGCTTCGGGGCAGAGCGCGGCCACCAGGGCCTGGTCCGGCCGCTCTGCCCTGGGCCGGGGAAGGGGCAGGAGAGGCCTCTGCACCGTCTGAGCGCAGCAGGCCGAGGGCCCGGCGCACACCGCAGGGGACAGCCCGCTGCGTGGAGAGGCGGTGAGGGAGGCGCGTACTTGGCACAGCCGCTCAAGCAGGCCCTCTGCATGGCGTCGATGGTGTAGCGCAGGAACTCGTGTGCGTCCTCCTGGTTCCCGAAGCGGAAGTGCCGGGCGATCTCTGAGGAGGGAAGAGGCATCCGTCAGCCGGACGGGAGCAGTTCTGCCTTCTCCGAACACCGGCCCGTGTGCGCCCACCTCCCTGCGGGCCCCGCCACGGCACGCCTCTGCCAAGGGCAGTGAGGACAGGAGCCCACGTGCACTGACGGCCCGCTCGTGTCCTCGGGCCGCGGGTTCTCAGTGAGACCTAGGGCTCAGCCCCCCACACTGGACGGGGCAGCACAGGCACCTCAGGGTGCCCAGCCCCGAGACTGTGAACCCACTGACGGGCCGGTTTCCCGAGCCGGTGAACACAGGCAGGTCACAGCTGTGCCGCAACCCACGTGCTTCCAAACATCAGCCACCTCTGCCCCGCCAGTGGGAAGGACGTGGGACTTGGACGGCAGGTGGTCACCAGCAGGAGAGGCCTCACCCCCCTCTCCGTCGCCCGGCTCTCACTCACGCTCAGCTGCCCACCCCCGCCCGGCCCCCCACTATAAAGCTGTCCCCACAGACCCTGGCCACAGCGCCTGGCATCCACAGGCCTTAAGTGTGTACGCAGCCACGTTCCCCGAGTCACCGCTCCGTGGACTCTCACAGCGCCTCCTTCCCCTCTCCCCTCCCCAGCGCCCACTGCGGAGCCAGCGGGCAGGAGACAGAGTCCACTCACTTCTCAGGTCTCGGATGAAGGACACAGGCTTGATGGCGTTGCCACTGTTGGCAAAGGCCTGGATGATGTGGGTCTGCATGACGCACAGCATGCAGAAGCTGCCCTGGCGACCTGCGGGGGCAAGGCAGACGTGAAGGCACAGCCTCCCCAACAGGGACAGCCTGCAGCGCCCACCCAGGACCCACCCAGGCCGTAACCCTAACTCCCCCCGTGACCTGGGGTCGTGTTTGGACCTCTACCGGTCCTTCTCTTGTTCCTTAGTGTATGTACTAACAAACAGAGCAAGTCTAACACGCCAGGCGAAGTTTAGGGAGATGCTTTCTCTAGCTTCCTAGCTACATCATGTGGTCAACAGGCCAGAACATTTAGGGCTCCCTGACACCCCTCAGTCTGCTCCAGGAGATGCCCGATGCCGTGTCAGGGCTCAGGACACTTCTGTGAAGCCCCACGTGGTCAACAAGCCCAGTCTTCGGGCCGCCCAGCCTCTACAGGATGACGGCTCCGCAGCAGCCAAGCCCCCACCCCACAGGCAGAGCCTGTGGAGCGGTGAGCATGCCCCTCCCCAGGCACCGGGCCAGACAGTGGCGCATCTACCTTTGTTCACGGTCACCAAGTACTGGGACACGAAGAGAAGCACGAAGACTCCACTGTCCAGCCCCAGCCCCTCCTGGTGCTTTCAAAGTAACACTGGTTGACAGCTGAGTGCCCCAGCGTCCCCCCTCCTCAGGCAGGTCGCCACCGTCCTACCGTCCTCGGTGCGGCCACACGTGTGCACTGCCCAGTCACCGGCACTGCGGCGGCGGCGGAGCTTCACGTCCGTTCGTGTGGTCGCCTTTACATAAAGGGGAGGCTTCTATTTTTCCTTTGAGTTTTCTCGACTTTTCTAAACATCAATTTATTACTTTCACTTTAAAAATGACAGTAGTTGTGAAAAGGGTTCAAATTTAAGCAACAAACAAACAAAGCCAGTGTTATTTAAGATAATTAAACCTAAGCCTTAACAAATGCTAAACAAAGAGTCCCGAGTGCGAGGTCTAGCTCAGGTTAAGACCTGCCTGCAGGAGCGGTGTGGAAACTCAGCCTCTACTCGTCCTAGAAGATGCTGCGGACCGTTAGCCTGAAAAGCGTCCCTCTTAACTAGAGCAAGTAACAGTTTCAGCCAGAAATCCCTGAGAAGGATCTTACAGATCTGGTAACACACAAGGGTGAGTGCAACACTGTCTGCAGGAACTCAGGAAAGTCACGTGAAGCCATGACTCTCGGGGCACCGCTGCTTGGGCACGGGCACCGCTGCTTGGGCACGGGCACCGCTGCTTGGGCGCGGGAAGAACGCACGGAGGACAGACTCTGATGCCCCTGGACACTGGACAGTGTCTCTCCCCCGGGTCCTGGTGCAGCGTGGCCGGGCCCGCAGCAGAGGGCACAGCACTCCACCCACAGCAGGCCCTTCGTGCTCAGGGACACTTCTCTGCGTCCTCGAGAACCACAAATGGCCTGTTCAAGGAGGCCAGGCCAGGCCCACCGCAGGGTCTCACTACGCTGTGCTCTGAGGAAGCTCAGAAGTTAGTCTACGAACGTTTCAGAGCGAGGAGGTCACGCATGGAGCACGGGTCTCCTAGGGCAGAACGGCCCTTCCGCCACCAGGAGGGGCAGGCCACGACTCCCCCACACTCACGCCCTGGCTCCCAACACACCACCACTTACGTGGGACAGGTGACATGGACCTACAGATGTTACCTGCTTTTGAGTGAATTAACCCTGAAAAGTGGACACACAGCGCCAAGATTCTTGCAGAGAAAGCAGAAAGGGAGGCGGCTCTCCAGGGCAACAGAGGAGACAAAACAACGGCAGCGCCCCCTTTGGGGCTGAGAGAGTGTTCTCGTCACAGCATCCGAGATAAGCACAGACAAGCTAGTCAAACCCACCCAAAGCCTCAGCGTGGCCACAGCAACACCGCCAGTGGACAGCCACAGGCACCTTCACCTGAAAAGCGTGCCCTGGGCCTTGATACACGAGCGGCCGCCGCTACGGGGCCCTTACAAGACACGGTGACCTCACCTCCCCAGACTCACCGCAAACCTGAAACTCCCGCACGGCGTTCTCTTCCACCCCCCCCCCACCCCCCCGTCTCTGGTTCTGCCCTCAGTTCCTGACATTTGATTGCTCACCAGTTCTTAAAAATCATTCTTCTGTGGCTTTGAGAAAAAAGTTTTGTCACATGCACGTGTACTTAAGTACACAACTCTTTGTTCTTCAACTTTACAAACAGGAATCCGTGCTGGACGGTCCCCGGGGCTTTGTCACTCCCAGCACGCGGGGCTGCGGTTCCTGACCCGTCACTGGTGTGCAGCGCTGCAGCACGGCCTGCCCTGACCCCGCGCGCACTCTGTGGGCGGGCACTTGAGCAACCGGCAGTATTTTGTGCAGACACTTTGCACAGGTTCCCTGCTTCACATGCGTCAGAGCCTTTCTGCAGAGCTGCTGGGTCGCAGATCACCTGACCCTCAGCGTGGCCAACAGGTTCAGACACTTTAAGCAGAACGACTGTAACCAAACCAATTGTTCTGGAGGCTAATCGAAATGAAAGAGATTTAGGTGCCTATGGCGTCATCACTGTAAATCAAGGATATCATTCGAGGCCTGCTGTGGCTCTGCCCGTTCACACCAACAGTGTGAAGAATGTCACCGGCCTCCACCTGCACCTTCCTCCGGCACCAGGGTGGAGTGTCCCCTGCTGACGTCAGCCTCCTGCGCCTTCAGGAGGGTGGAGTGTCCCCTGCTGTGGCTCTGCCCGTTCACACCAACAGTGTGAAGAATGTCACCGGCCTTCACCTGCACCTTCCTCCGGCACAAGGGTGGAGTGTCCCCTGCTGACGTCAGCCTCCTGCACCTCCAGGAGGGTGGAGTGTCCCCTGCTGTGGCTCTGCCCATTCACACCAACAGTGTGAAGAATGTCACCGGCCTTCACCTGCACCTTCCTCCGGCACAAGGGTGGAGTGTCCCCTGCTGACGTCAGCCTCCTGCGCCTTCAGGAGGGTGGAGTGTCCCCTGCTGTGGCTCTGCCCGTTCACACCAACAGTGTGAAGAATGTCACCGGCCTTCACCTGCACCTTCCTCCGGCACAAGGGTGGAGTGTCCCCTGCTGACGTCAGCCTCCTGCACCTTCAGGAGGGTGGAGTGTCCCCTGCTGACGTCAGCCTCCTGCGCCTTCAGGAGGGTGGAGTGTCCCCTGCTGTGGTTCTGCCCGTTCACACCAACAGTGTGAAGAATGTCACCGGCCTTCATTGGCACCTTCCTCCGGCACAAGGGTGGAGTGTCCCCTGCTGACGTCAGCCTCCTGCGCCTTCAGGAGGGTGGAGTGTCCCCTGCTGTGGCTCTGCCCGTTCACGCCAGGAGTGTGAAGAATGTCACCGGCCTTCACCTGCACCTTCCTCCGGCACAAGGGTGGAGTGTCCCCTGCTGTGGTTCTGCCGGCAGGACACTGATCGGATGGTTAGCCGGGCTGAGCGTCTCTGCCGACACTCTTGGCCATGTGCTTCCTGTTCCGGAAGGTGCCTGCTCATGACCTTCATCCAGGCTCTTCTGTGCTGCCTTGCGGTTCTTCGCTTCCCCTGGTACCAACCCTCGGTCCAGGTTTCGTCTCCCAGCCTGCAGCTGCCACGGCTGTTTTCACGAACAGAAGTTCTTCATCGTGAGGCAGCTGGATGTCTCAGTGTTGTCATGGCCGGCGCTCTGTCGCGATGAAGAACTCTCCCACCCCAGGTCACACTGGCTGCGAACGCGCTGTGTTTTACTCCGGAGGCTGAGCTTTTGTCCTGTGCGCGCGCACGTGCAGCGACACAGGGACCCCAGCTCACGTTTTCTGCACGGAAACCCAGGTGTTTTTGAAAGCTCTACTTACTTAAACGTAGACACACACACCCGAACAGCAGTAGGTGGCGCCGCATCTCCAAGGGCGTGCGTCTGGGCTCTCTGTTCTATCCCACCGGCAGTCTCTCTCTGTCACCAGACTTCGGAGCTGGCAGGCCCCCCCCCCCAGTGCTGTCGTGGTGACTCTGGGTCCTTTGCTTTACTTTTCCATACGGTCGAGTCAGCTGGAGTTAGCCATCTCTCCTCACTCTGGACAGCCTACATCTCTCTCCACGGCGCTTCCTCTGGGAAGGCACCTGTCTCCGTGGGCGCAGGCGACCACGCAGCCTGCCCAGCCACGGCCTCCCACACACCTGGGTACGTTCAGGTCTCGACACTTTATCGTTTGGTTGCTTCTATCAATTGTTTCATAACTTGCTGTTTGGTGCCGAGAAATTCAACCAACTCTTGTCTATGGATGTCACAGCGCTGGTCAGGTGGCCAACCTCCTACTTTGTCCAGATTCTTTGGCTTTTCTGGGCAGGAGTATAATAGTGTCCTCCTCCCTCTGCTACCGCTCTGGCCAGGACCAATGCCCCTCAGACACGTGCTGCTCACGGCCACCACCCCGTCACTGCTGAGTTAAGGGCAAGCGTCCAGCATTTCCACATGGAGGCTTCTCAGAAGTGCTTTCCGGCACCCGGGCCAGGAGCCCCCCCCCGCTGCTCTGCTGAGGTTTATCGGAACGTATTTGGCACCTCTTCCCAGGTGGCCTCTCTCTGCTCGCGAGGCGAGTGCTGAGACAGCCAAGGCAGCATGCACACGGCACCACCTGCACCCAGCGCCGGCCCGAGCTCCACGGAGCTCGTTCAAGCCCCGCAGCACCACGGAGGCGCGGCACTACTGCGCCGGGGACCGAAGCTTAAGGACACAGAGCCAGGAGGCCGGCCCAGCGGGCAGTCCCGGGGGTGGTCTGGATCGCGTGCTGTGGCCCACGCTGGACTCAGGGACGTTCCGGTGCTAGAACATCCCTGCGTAGCACACGCTGCTCTAGCTGCTCAAGAGACTTGCCTTGCCAGGGTCCTGCACGGCTGACACCTACGTTCCCGAACTCGGGAGGGCATCGTCGCTCTCACACCTGTGCTTGTTTCACTGGTTATCTGAGCTACGGGAACCTCATGGAGTGAGCTGGTGACTCCTCTCTCTCGAGTCTCTAGAAGAGTTCACGAGGCAACGGAGCACTCTCGTTCTTAAAAGTTCATAGAACGCACCCGGAAACCCCCTCAGCCTGACGGTGACTTCCCGGGAGGGCTCTGGCGTGATCTGATAGCTGATAAAACGCTGGTGTCATAGGAATACAGGACGACTGAATACACGGACAGGGTGGAGCGAAAGGAGATTTACAGTCGTGAGTACACGAAGCAGGGCTTCTCCTTGTATTATTATTTGTTAGCTACTGTATTATTTTCCATACGAACAGCTGTAAACCTACTTCTGCCCACCGTGTGTTTGGAGGTGTCTTTTGGAACCCCTTTTCCTGATAGGTGACTGGCCAGAAGAGTCTGCAGACCAGTGATCTCCCTGAGAGATTCACTTCATAGCTGCCCTGCAGCGGGCACAGCTGACACCCAGGTTTTATCGGTCACTAGGAACTATGGACTTCACCCCAAGTTTGACCTAGGCTGTGTGTAGTGGCGCCTGTGCAGCTGGGAGGCCCGCGGGCGGGGACCCAGAGCCCACCCTGCAGCACTCACAGCTCCGGGCGTGCTCCCGAGACAGCAGGTAGTTGGCGAGCGGCGGCGTGTAGGTCAGGCACTGCACGGTCGCGTTCAGGAAGCACGTGTTGCCCAGGTTGTGGAGTCCGGCGCCCACGCGGTAAACGCGCTCCCACTGCAGGGACAGCCGCTCCGTGGGGAAGAGCACTTTCTGTGGGGCGGGGACACCATCGCCACTGCTCTCGCACACCTGCTCGCTGCCTGAGACAAGGACGGGACAGAGGAGGGTGACACAGGTCTCTGCACAGCTAGACCACAGACAGTATCGCTGACGGACACTTAGCATGCACGCGTCTGAGCACGTTCTGACCAACCCCGCATCTTTACTTCTGCAACTGAAACCCATGGACCCCACATAAAGCTCCCGACTCTTTGACCACGTTCGGTTTGGGTTCCTCCCGGACAACGTCCCGCCCACCCACTTGGTCAGCACAGCGGGGCCCTCTGCCTGCGTCCTAGGCGCCCGCACCCTGTCTCCTGGCCTGCAGCTCATCCCCGCTCCGGTGGCGAGCGGCTCCCTCTGCTCTGGGGTTCAGCAGCACGTATTTGCTCTTCAGCGACTCCAGCTGGTAGGAGAAGCTCTTGCTGGCCGGCTCGAACTCAATCTTCTGTAACAGGACCTTCTTGGCAGAGGCGGCCAGAAGCCTCCCCAGCTCTCCATCGTCGGCCGCGTCCTTGCGGCCAGGTTTCAGGGCTTCCTTCAGCTTGTCAACGATGGGCATGGTGCGTCACTGTGGGGACAAGGAGCACAGAGCGACAGGTGACCAGGTCCCAGAACAAAGCTCTTCTCTGAAAAGCCCCTCTTTGGTCACTATGGACACCAGCCTTCCCTGGAAGCTTCTCTGGATGGCTGTCAACCCCACAGAGGAAGTGTAAGCCACGGAGACCCACTGGTGACCACGTGGACAACGTGGGCCCACGCTGCTCCTCGCGGAAAGGCAAGGCACCTCCACACACAGTGCTGGAAAGACGGGAGCCACCCTCAGGGTGTCTCTCCCACAGGTGACCGTGGGCCTCGTGCTTGGTGCAAGTTCCGTCCGAAACCAAGGAAACACCGGTTCTCCCGAGGCGCTCCGTTACCCACCCAGAGCCCTAAGTAAAGGAGGCCGTACGGCAAGCTGGAGGGGCACACTGGTCTGTCTAGCCCATTCTCTCTCAATCCAAGGCCACGGCACACGCAGCCACGGACCACACGGATCTCAAAGACTCAGTACGATGAGCGCTTAGATCCCTTACGTGCTAAGTGAAGCAGACTGTGAAGCTCACCCTCACCTGCTTCTTTTCAGTTGTCACTGTGACTCAGATTACTGGACAGTGCCTGAACAGACCCTCTGTAAAGGTCAGGAGGAGAGCGGGGACAGTGACGGGACTAGAACGGCAAACACAAGATGCCTAGACGGAAGCAAAGAGGAAGTGACGGCTCCGGCTCTGGAACGTGCGGCCTGCGTCGTCCCATCACCTTTCAGCTATAAGCTCCAGGGACAATCACTGTGACTCCCACAGGTCTCCTAGTCTTTGTAATAAAACAAAGACAAAAACGGCACCACAGGCGGGTGTAAAATTAACGGGACAAGCACTGGGTGAGGGCTGAGCACCAGCAGAGGGAGGACAATGGTCGGCAGCCACAGACACTGTGACAGACAGGAAACCCGTCACCTCTGCCGGCGATGGCTGTGCCTACGGCTGCTCTTCCCCAGCCCACTGCCTCTTGACAGCATCCCAGCCAAAGCTCAGGACTGCCAGCCAGAAAAATATGTTCCCATCAGGAAAAGGGTGACGCCCTCAGGTCCCTGATGACCCGCCTGACACAGGAACACCAACTAGGCGGTGAACCCCACACCTCTGCTCCATGAAAGGCCCAAATTTATTGTCGTGAAGCATCTAATTTCACACATGGGTCACATTCCTTTGTCTATTAGAATGTCTGCCAAGCACAGAGCTGTAGAACTTTCACTTAAGAAAGGAAGCACAGGTTCTTTGATTTGAAGAAATAAAAGCCCTTTTCTAGGGGATCACTAAGGGTCTTCACCACTGAATGACAGCTGCGGGGCCACATGCAGGAATGAATGAGAAGATGCGCAGAAGTCCGTGCAGCTTACCTGGGGCAGGTGAACTTGTGCGCACTGCTGTTGCATGGGGTTGGGTTCTTGGCCAGACCGGGCGGGTGTGGGGCCGGGCCCTCAAACGCATGTGCTCTTTGTCGCTGGCCTGTTAAATCACCACAGCTGCAAGCGCATCGTCCAGAATGGGGGTCCGAACCTGGGGGATAAACGGAGCACCCCATGAGGCCGGCTCTCTTCCCACTGTCTCACGAGCCCCGCTCTGTGGTGCGGAGCAGGAAGGTGAAACCCCCACCAGCAACAGTCAGCTCTAAGGGTGGAGAGAGATCCACAGCGTGGACCTAGGAAGAGTTGGGGCGGGGAAACGAGTAACTAGCGACAAGTCAGTTCCCTGGGCGTGATAGGAAAACACACTGCTCCACACTTAAACTCACGTCAGGGACAAGAGCCGTGAACAAAACCTCCCCGTGCTCGCCCATCAGCTCCCATCTACACTGCCTTCCGAAGAGGAACAGGTAGTAGGTGACACTTGAACTTTCTGATTTCATGAACCAGTGAAGTTCCAAAAAAAAAACTGAAGGAGCGATAAGAATTGCTGCCAAATTTTCACTTTGCTCGATGTGGATTTTCTCCCTTGAAGTACCACCCATGATCACTATGATCAATAAAATCGAGGTCCTTTAAAACGTCTGCGTGTGAAGACGTTCCGACGCAATGCTGAGAACAGCAGTGTGGGCCACCGCGTTCCCTTCCTCAGGGTGAACAACTGTCACTATGCAGGACCCTCCTGACTTCGCTGCTGTCCCCTCAGGACCTCGCAGCAAAGTTCAGACACATCATGTCTCGTGTCCACGGGTGAAAGCTTGTCAACACCAAAACAAGACAAACACTCCCTCCAGTGTCCAGGCTGCAGTCACCACTCACACGGCAGGGAGGCCAGGTGAGGACCTGGTCCTGGCCGGAGGTGGGTCCGAGGGCGAAGGTTTGGAAACTGAGTAGCCAGAGGATAAACCGAACTTGGGAGATTGAAAACCTCACTTGATTCGAGACCAGGAACTGACAGGGCACCTAACCCAGGGCCGCTCTTGGAGATGGAGGCAGGGATCTTGAACAAACAACGGTTTTCCCGGTTGGGACAGAAAGGTCGTCTGTGTCACCAGCTTCACCCGACACAGTAAGCAACAACCTAAAGGTGATCTCTCTGCGAGGGGTAGGAACCCCGCACGCCCTTTGGTGTGCTCCCTTGACAAGCACCCTGCCGACCCGGAAGGATGCCCTCTCCAGGCTGGCGCATCCTGTGGTCCAGGAAGCCCGCGCTCCCTGTGTTTCTTCCACCTCCAAGATGCTCAGCACACACCACGCCGTTCAAGCACCTTCTCCTTCCACCTCCGGCCAAGGCCCTGAAGTCAGGGGGCCAACCACGTGCAGGCGGGGAGGAGCCGCAGGTGGCGGGCGCGGGCCTCCCCGGGGCGCGCCGCGTCCCGGAGCGGAGCGCCTCTCCTGGGAGGCCCGGCCCTGCGCATCCCTACAGAAAGCCTGCTGCGGGATGCTGCTCCAGCTCCTGAGACCGAGCCCCGGGGACCCCACGGTGCCCGGCCGAAGCAACGGCAGCCTAAAACCCACACCCACCGTGCCCACAAGGCCCCCGGGAAGGTGACGTGCCTTCGGGGGCGCGGGCCTTCTCGCGATCGCGTCCGGAAAGGACACAGTGCGACCTGAGCTCTGCCCGGCGGAGCCTCTTCCCGGTTTCGCCTGAAGCTCCTGCGTCAGGGACGCTCCCGTGCGCGACGGCCGGCCGTGCCCGCATCCACACCGGCCGCCCCCCACGCCACGGGTCGGGGTGCGCGGGCACCGCACGCTGGACCTCGGGCCCCGCGCGGACCCCGGAGTCCTCACGGACACGCGTCCCCATTTCTCCGGTAGCCCCCGAGCCCCTTGTGGACCCGGGGGCCTTCACGGACACGCACCTCCGTTTCCCCGTGGACCCCTGAACCCCTCACGGACCGCGCCGCCCAGGCCTTCCCCGTGGACCCGGGAACCTTCACGGACACGCACCCCTATTTCCCCGTGAGCCCCTTGTGGACCCGGGAACCTTCGCGGACACGCACCCCTGTTTCCCCGTGAGCCCCTTGTGGACCCGGGAACCTTCGCGGACACGCACCCCTGTTTCCCCGTGAGCCCCTTGTGGACCCGGGAACCTTCGCGGACACGCACCCCCGTTTCCCCGTGAGCCCCTTGTGGACCCGGGAACCTTCGCGGACACGCACCCCCGTTTCCCCGTGAGCCCCTTGTGGACCCGGGAACCTTCGCGGACACGCACCCCTGTTTCCCCGTGAGCCCCTGGGCCCCTCGCGGACCGCGCCTCCCGGGTCCGCCCCGTGGACCCCGGAGCCCTCACGGATCCCCGTCCCCGTTTCCTCGAGGACCCCCGAGCCGCTCGCGGACCCCTGGACCCTCCCCGTGGAGCCGGGAGCCCTCATGGACACGCGCCCACGTTCCCCGCAGCGCCCCCGCGTCGGGCCGCAGCTGCCTGCGCAGCAGGCCTGGAGGAAGCCCTGCCCTTGGCCGGACGCGCAGCCTTCCCCCGGCCCACGCGCCGCCCAATCTCGGCCCCAACCTACCCGGCCCTCGGCCGGCCCGCTGCAGCCCGCGGCGCTGGCGTCTGCTCGGCCGGGCCCCGCACACTCACCATCCGGGCCCTCGGCGCTCCACACACGTGTCACCACGACACTTAAAGGCGCCGCGGCTCGCTGCCCGCGCTGCGCAACACAGAAAGGCCTGGACTGCTTTAAGAGGAGGGGCCGGTTTCGGCCCCACCCCCTGGACCCTCCCACAGGCCCTTGACGCACCAGAGCGTCACCTGCCCATCCCGCGGCCCCGCCAGCGTACGCAATGACGCAAGCACGCAGAGCGGAGGTGCCCCGCCCCCTTGGCCGGCGCTCGGCGAGTTCCCGCAGAGCACGTGAGGCGCCTACTTCCGGGTCTGGCGCAAGGGGCGCGGGCGTCGTGCGCAGCTGGGGCCGTGTGCTGGCCGCGCCTCGTTGTCACCTGCAATGTGGCCGTGATGCGTCTCGCCCTGGAGCCTTCAGGGACCAGGACACAGGCTGGCGCGACCCAGGCTGCCGGCCCAGGAGGGGCGGGTTGGGGGTGGGGAGAGAGCCCTGCACCGTTCCTGGCCGCTCTCCTCCAGGAGCGTCATCCCGCGCCGACTCCGTTCGTCCCTGGTTGAATGTTTGCAAATATGCACGGATTTTGAAATATATACACACATATATATTTTGATCCTTTTCACTTGAAGCAGCTTCTGTGGCCTGGGTCGGTGGCGAGAGCGGCTCCTGGCCTGACCTCCGGCGGTGGTCTCGCAGGAGCCAGGGGTCTGCTGAGTCTTTTCAGGCCCCTCGCCCGTCCTCCCGGTGGGGAACGGGGATGGAGATGCAGGTGTAAGTGGAACCAAGGTCACCGTGTGGTTCACACGGGGGTCTTGTTTTTTTGAAAAAGCAAACGAGCAGAAACAAAACCTTAGGAGCCCATTTTCCTATCTGGTCATCCTCGACCAGGCTTCAGAGTGAGATTTGCCCCGGTGCGAGTCTGCTGTGCCCGAAGAGTGGTTCATACAAAGACAGTTCTCCCTGTTCCAGGCCTGATGCAATACACGTGGGTGATGTCGTGTGGGGCAGGTGCCGGCAAGAGGGGGAGGTGGGCAGCTGGCAGGGGAGTGAGGAGACTTGGGTTTTACTCCAACTCTGTCCTAATTAGGTTTTGGGGGGCATTTCTTCTAACTAACCGGGGGCCTGAGTTTCCCCTCTGAACTAAAGATGCATCCAGCATCCCTTGAATTCCTCCAATGACAAAACCAGTGGCATTTACTTCCGTTGCTGAGCTCATACGTGCCAAATACCGAGCTCACCACTTCACCAACATTGATTTAATTCTCACGGCAGCCCTACAAAAAGATATGGTTCCCGTTTTACAGATGGAAAAACTTGAGTGCCCAGGGTCCTACCAAGCAAGCGGTGGTGACGAAGGGCTTAAACCCAGGTATCTGTTAGGCTACAAGTTCACACCTTTAGTTCAGGCTCTGGGGTAACCCAGAAATTCTTATGAGATGACAAAGAAATAGCTTGAAAGGCCTGCACGCTGCTTGAGAATGTAATCTGAGACCTACATGCTGGGAGGAGCCTTGGGCCACCCACTCTGGTCCTGCTCCCCCTTCACCTTCCTTCCTAGGGGCCTTGAGTGAAATTTTCTGGAGGTATGTTCACTTGGGCCCACATAAAAGTCCTTCCCAAGGTACTCAGTCTCAGAGGTCACCTGGAAAATGTAAATTGAGATACATTTCAAAGTCTAGAACAGCTAAAATAAAAAGACTGGATGTTGGAGAGAAGGCAGAGCATAGAGTCTTTGTGGGACTGCAGAGAAGGTAAAATGAAGCAACCGTTTTGGGGCAACTAATTTAAATGGTAACAGGAGCACTTGCCTTGTGAGCACTTATTGCTGTCACCACTGGGGCCTTTTCAGCTCTTTCCGGGCTGCCTTGGGAACTGGTGTCCACGGGGTTCGGCCACCTGGGGACACAGGCCGGACTGGAAGGTGGAGGAAAGGAGAAGCAGGGCCCTTCCTTCCTCTCTGCTTTGGGTGGAATTTCTGGCGGTGGCTCCAGCCTCCCGGTGTGTCCTCTCCCTGGGTGCCCTGGGGCAGCCTCCCGCCTCTGCCCCGCCACCCAGAGATGCTGGAGCTTCCTGTGTGCTTAGTTGGCTTCTCGGGGAGTTTCTTCTGTTAAGCAAAAATTCGAACTGCTAGAGCTGAAAGTCTTGAGAGAGATTTTATCGAGCCAAAAATGCGAGCCAGAAAGGTTGGTCTTGGGGCACGCAGTCCAAACCACCAGCAGCATGGCTAGGGAGAAAGGCACATGCCCAGCGTCTTGGAGCTTGTGCGGGGGTTTTTATTGGTGGAATGGGAGGAGGGAGAAAGCTGTGAGCTGGCTGAAAGACCGTACTTCAGCGGTAGGTAAAGGTAGGCAGAGGGGAGGAGAAGGCGAAGAGGAGCCAGTTCCAGCACAGCCGTGGGACCGAGGACGGTCCCTCCTGTGGACTGGCTGTGGGCCCGTGGAAAGCCCCACGTAAGCACGCACAGGCTCCCGGAGCCCCACGGCGCCTGGCTGAGCCTGCCGAAACCCACCTGGAAGTGAATTCGAAGCCCGACAGAGGGAATGTGAGCGGTCCTGCGTCAGCTGCCTGCAGCGGCTCACAGACCGACAGTCTCTTCTCTCCCCTGCGGCTGTAATTCAGTTTAGCAAATCTCAAAATGCACTCCTTGTCGCTTTTTCCAGGATGTAACCGACCCCCGAATTCACCCTGCGTGTTTTGAAAAGCTGTGGTGTTCCCGGTTGGACCTGGACTAATACAGACAGAAACCCCAACATTCACCTGCCTGGCCAGCATTTTGGGCTCCTCTCTCTCCCACACCCCTCAAGTAAATCATCAGTTCATACATTTTGCTCATTTTGCCTCTCAAATATTCCTGCCTGCTTTTCTCCCCTCACCCCCCGCCACTCCCTGCCCCGAGTCCTTCAGTGGAGTAAACCCAAGCGCCCCCAAGACCCCAATCAGGCTGTCTCTGCCCCAGGCTCGAGCTGGTCCTCGGCCAAAAATGTCCTTTCCCACACACCCTTCAACCACCACCTCTGGCATCACCTCCTCGAAGAAGTCTTCCTGGATTCCCTCCATCCCTGCTGTTAGGTTGGTATTGCCTTGGGCTGGTCTGCACATTCCACTTACACATTCAATAGGCATGTTCTCTGGACTTCTCCCTCTGCCGCTGTGACTTCGGAGCCAGCACTGCCTCTCATTCGTCTGCCTGCGAGTGTCCAGCAAGTGTCCCTGCTGGTCAGAGACAGCAGACCCGCGAGGGCAAGCTGCTTCCACCAGAGCCGCCTCGGTGGAGGCTGGTGGTCCTCAGAGGAGCCGAGGGAGCAGGGCAGGGGCGTGTGCTACTGAAGGGGTGGACCCAGAGTCCGCCTCTGCCTGGTTTTTTTTTGTGTGTGTGTTTTTTTAAATCCTCATCCGAGGACATTTTTTCCACTCTTTATTCAGATAGAGTGGGAGGGGGAGAGAGAGAGAGAGAGAGAGAAACATCGATGTGAAAGGGACACATTGAGTGGCCGCCACCCGCACGACCCAAGCAGAGCCGGGGACAAACTGCAACCGAGGTACATGCCCTTAGTGGGAACTGAACCCGGGTCTCTCGGGACCGCAGGCCGACGCTCTAACCGCTGAGCCAAACCGGCCAGGGCTCTGCCTGGTTTTAAATGCCAGCTCCAGGGCTTCCTGGCTGGGTGACCAGGTAACTGACCTCCCACACCTTAGTGTCCTTACCTATCAGGTGGGGAAGAGGAGAGAACCGATGTCTCCGAGCTAGCAAGTGTTCCTTGAGATAACTATGTAAAACCTTTAGCCGAAGTCCCTGCGTGGAGTCGACATTAGCTATGACTGGAACTACTAGACGTATTGGGCTGATTTCCTGAGCAGTTGCCGTGGGAGTTTGGGAGCGGAGTCTCCGGAGCTGGGGGACAGATCATGAAGGCAAATGGACAGGACGTGTGTGTGAAAAAGAGTTACCCAGGCAGACGCGAGACTGCTCTCCTTGGGAAGCCTGCTTACCAGGTTGGTGTCGGGGAACCTAGACCTCGGGAGGGTTCCCCCTTCCCGGCTCACGTGGCTCAGTGTTTGTTGATGCTGAACACCTGCTTTCCTTGTGGGAGTCTGGCGTGGGTCACGTGCCGGGCAGAGGGTGCCTGCATGACCAGCACCCCACCAGGACCCTGGGGCCAAGACGCTCACCAGCTCCCTTGGCTGGAATCTTACTCCCGGTCCTCCCCCAACTCCAGCTCCGCTTGAAGGGGCAAAGCAAGACACGATTGGCCTAAAAGTAAAACATTTGGCTTTATTTGGGGGTAGTGCAAACAGATCTACCTCTGTACCCCATCTTGGATCCCATCCTCAAATCCACCCAACACTCACCTTCTCTATCTGACCCCCACCCGACACCCCACACCATGCTGCAGACTCAAGTTGGATCTGTCTCATGTTTGTTTCATTTAGTTGGACAGAAAAATGTCTCTGTTGTTTCAGCATGAAAATGTGCAGAATTAGCTCATGCTTCTGAACATCTTTTTTGCCCACAAGCAATGTGGTTCAAAATCTGCTATTACAGCGCAATGATTTCCCCAAATCCCAGCACCGCCTTTCACTGCGAGCTTCACAGGCCCCTGTGTGTGGCGAGGTGTGCTGTGGGCCCGCTCAGAGCTCGAACCCCAGGCTGGAGGCAGGCCTGGTCGTGAACTTCAGAGCTGTAATGCAAAACCTACGGTAACAGCAAAACCGCCCAAAATAAAACGGACTCTAGCAGAGTATGTGTCTGAAGGTCTACTGTTTTGATTTGATTTAAAAAAAAAATTTTTTTTTCCTTTATTGATTTTAGAGAAAGAGAAAGTGAGCGGGAGAGAGAGATGGAAACATCGATGAGAGAGAACATCAACTGGCCGCCTCCTGCATGCCCCCTACTGGGGATTTGGCCCACAACCTGGGCATGTGTCCTGACCGGGAATTGAACCGGTGACCTCTTGGTGCAGGGTCGACGCTCAGCCACTGAGCCACACCAGCTGAACTGATTTTTTTTTTTTAAGTCAGGTCAGGTAAACATGTCCATTGGTGACGAGGAAGGAAAAGACGGTGCCACCCAGCTTCTGAAGGGTTTCAACCAGTCCTGGCGGCTCCCCCCACCGCCCCCCGGTGTCCGCTGGGTGTTCTGACCAGAGAGCCCGGCCGTCCTCGGCTGTCCCACCCACTGATCTTCCACAGCAAGGGCGAAGCGGAGGGGGAAGAATAGTGTCTGCTAGAATCTCTGGCAATCTGGTCACCCCATACGTGGGTCTCCACACTATTTCCAAACTTCCTGCAAAGATCAGAGAACTTGGGTCACTGTGGAAACCGGAGCGCCGGTGCGTGGCCTCCCTGCCGGCTCTCGTCCTCCTGTCTGCTCGAAAGTTCCCTTCACGAGAAGTGTTTTTAAAGAGGCTGTTCGACTTGAGTGCACGGAATCAGTAAACCGGTAGCAACGGTCTGGCGTGCTGCTCGCCGAGACCCCAGATCGGTGCAGGTGCGGCGGACACTGGGGCCGGTGAGTCACTGGGATGACAAAGTTTGAGTCTCGTTTTGCCAGATGCCGCTATGAACCCCTTTCCCACACGTGTCACCGTGCAGAAAACCCAGCGGAGTGTCTGGGCACTCGGTGGCATGAGATGCACAGCTGAATGCGTGACGCAGGCGGGGTGCACGCGTGGACCCACTGACCCGTTACCTGCAGGAAGGCCCCGCTAAGTGTGTCCTTGCGGGTCAGGCCGACACGCACAGGCTGGGAAACAACCCTGGGTTTCCCCGGATAACGATTCCACCCGCGGGCTGCGGGTGGGCAGCGGCTCCTATATAGCACTCAAGAATTTCCGCGTGGTGACTTGAAGTAATGTGACACTTGGCTCAAGTTTAAATTATGATGGGGCTACTGTTGCACAAGAGGGAGGGAGAAGGAGGGAGGGGAGACCTGCAGAACAGGAGGCTCTGGGGGGCAGCTGCGGTGTATGCACCTTATGGGGACCCCGAGTCAAACCAATAAACCGTAACACTGGCCAGTGTTCGAGGATGGTCATGGGTTCTAATTAATTTTTAAGGTGTGATAAAAGTATTCGGAGAATATCTCTAAAACAGTTCTTAATTGACCTGGCTGGTCTGGCTCAGGGGTTAGAGTGTCGGCCCACAGACCAAAGAGTCTCAGGTTTGATTCCGGTCAAGGGCACGTACCTCGGTTGTGGTTCGGTCACCAGCCCTGGTCAGGGTAGAGCGGGAGGCAGCCAGTCAATGTGTCCCTCTCACATCTATGTCTCTCCCCCCTCCCACACTATCCAAAAAATCAATGGAAAAATATCCTCAAGTGAGGATTAAAAAAAAAATAAAAGTCCTTAATTTTTAGAGAGATGTACCGAAACATTGAGAGGTGAACCTGTGTGATGTCTAGAACAGTGGGTGTGGGCGAGAGGGAAGACAGGGTGTGGGAGTGTGGGGGGGGGTTGCGGGCTCTGCTCGTGTGTGTGTGTGTGTGTGTGTGTGTGAACAGAACACCTATGCTCCTATCGTTTGCCAATGTAAGAAAATCCTGCCCCAGCGGCTGCCTGTCTCTGCTGCACCCCAGGCTGGCTGTCTCTGCTGCGCCCCGGGCTGGCTGCAGAGCACCCTGGGCTGGCTGTCTCTGCTGCACCCCGGGCTGGCTGTCTCTGCTGCACCCCGGGCTGGCTGTCTCTGCTGCGGCCCGGGCTGGCTGTCTCTGCTGCGCCCCGGGCTGGCTGTCTCTGCTGCACCCCAGGCTGGCTGTCTCTGCTGCGCCCCGGGCTGGCTGCAGAGCACCCTGGGCTGGCTGTCTCTGCTGCACCCCGGGCTGGCTGTCTCTGCTGCGCCCCGGGCTGGCTGTCTCTGCTGCGGCCCGGGCTGGCTGTCTCTGCTGCGCCCCGGGCTGGCTGTCTCTGCTGCGCCCCGGGCTGGCTGTCTCTGCTGCGCCCCGGGCTGGCTGCAGAGCGCCCCGGGCTGTTCTCTAGGTGACGAAGCACTTCCCTGCCCCCGTGGCAGAGGCTCCTTCGCAGGTGTTTGCCACCCTTGTTCAGCTAGAAAAGCAGCCACACAGAGGCAGGCAAGTTCTCTTTGATAATATTGTTTATTGTCCATTGACCAAGCGATCACTCAAGAACGATACAAAGCATCGGAGACATGCGCAGTCTGCCTGTCAACTTTCAACGGCTCTGGTGTGTTCCCAGCACAGGAAGGTCTCAGACTTCATATTCCAGCAATAACACATTGCCCCACAATTAGAAAAAAAAAAAAAAAATCCAACAAAAACAAACAAAACCAACAAAGCTTTAAATTATGGCAGCAAGTCTGATATTTCTTCTTGCGTATCAAGCAAAGATTTGAAAATCACTACAATGTAAACTTTTAAATAGTTCGAGTCGCCTGCATGAAGACAAGAGAGGGAAGAGCAGTGCTTAGAATATAACATAAATTAACAATGCCGATGGGAGCCTTCTTAAACCGTATGCAAACTGCAGTTATTGACCGTGAAGGTGTTTGCGTGGCTCTCTCTTGGATGCCACTGGGCACGTCCTCGTGGTTTTTTTTTCCTGTTAGGCATGGCTAACAGAACGTGTGTGGATTAAATATAAAGGCCATGCTTTACCAACAGACTCAGATCCTTTACACTTTGTAACAGTTTGAACCAGAGAAAAGATGGGAGGCGGAAACAGTAACCATACTCAAAGAACAAGGATGAGCGCGGAAGGAACCACCGCCCCTGGCCACGGCTAGGACAGGCCACGCTTTCCACTCTGGGTCAAATGCTTCCACGATGCAGAAACCTCTAAAAAAAAAAGTGCAAGTCTAACACCTACCAAGGGTAATAAAAAACACAGCACAGGAGTGATTACAACTGATGTCAGAAACAAACCAGAACACTGAAAAGTCTGCAGAAACAGGAGTAAATGTTACATATGATAACACCATACAGGAAGCGGACGGGGAGGGGTGTTATATTGATCGGAGGGTCTGGTGTTCTTGTATATACTGAAATTACATGGACTGGTCCATTACGACACCTCAGACTTTATCACTGTACAGCATGAAAGCGCCCTTGGGCGGGGCTGGTTCTGGATGTTCCGCTCTGCCCTGGAAAGGGAAGTCATCAAAGTCTATGCTGACCAGGTCCCGGGGGGGCATGGGGGCTGCATGCCACTTGGGGGTCAGGGGTCTTACAGGTGCTTTGAGATCACCGCAGAATAGAGCAGGCTTGGAAGTCGGTGACTTTGGAAACATTTTGCAGGACCACGCACAGGCCGGGAGACCTCCGTGTCGCGGTGTGTGTGCGTGTGCACGTGTGCTTATATGCATGTGTTTACATAATGTGCATGAAACAAATAGGGTTAAAAGGGAGACTATATTTGTTCTTATTGAGAAATGTCTGCCTGTGTTAACCCCCATTCTGCCGGCATCAGAAAACCACTTTTGGAGAACAAATAGGATCATTAGTGCCCCAAGAATGAGATTTGGAGACATCTTCATAATGTAAGAACTATCACCAGAGGTGGGTACACCTGCAGCTTGGGTGAACATACACCATCAGAGAATTCATCTTTAGAAAAATGAGATGTCGCTGAAAGCCGGCAACAGTGTCCTGGAGGCCCAGAGAGAATCAGTTTCTCCAAAGCCACCTGCCACCAAAATGCGTCCCTCCCTAGGTAAGGCTTCATAAGACACTTAGTTAACTCCCCCCGCAGAAATCCAGGCACAGCACAGGCACTGTCAGTCTTGGGGGAGGGAGGATATTACTAAACCTTCGCAGGACGGGACCCAACTTTTGCTGTCCCCAGACCGTGCACACAGCGCACACAGCTAGCTCATGCCACTCGCCACACGCGACGTCCTGCAAAGCCAATCCGTGCAACCCTGTCTAGATGCTGATGCCAGGATGAGGAGTGTGAGGGACTTCAGAAGCCCAAGAATGAGCCACAAGGGCAGCCAAGTGTCCCCCCAGTGTCTGTCCTCAGGGCAGAGTGTCTCACGTTCCCTAAGGGCTGGGGGATGTGTGTGCGGGGGAATCAGGGACTTGGTGGAGGCTGAAGCCGGTACTGCCCCATCGCCACGGCCCTGGAGCGGGGCTCCCACTGGGGCTCTGTGGGTCAGTAAGAGCGATGAGGCTCCTTCAGAACAAGCTGCTCCTGGAATCTGGGAGTCAGTGGTCAGCTCAGGGGAGCCAGTGGGGGGAGGGTCTGACACCCAGGGCCGAGGGGTGGAAGCTGCAGGAAACGAGGGACATGCTCCTGTCAAGATGAAGGGACCTGGTAGGCCTGCTACACAGTCTTGCAACGACCCTCAAGTTTCTGCAAAATGCACATTTCCAGGCTCTGCCCTGACCAGGCCAGGGGGTGCCCCTAGGTGATGCCCCTCAGCGTTTGTGACAGTGCCAAGGCTGGGCCTGGGAGGGAGGCCCGAGTCCTACCCCTGCCGGCAGCCCAGGGTCGAGTCAGATGCACGGACCCAGGCTGGCGGGTGTGGGACCGACCTCTCCCTCCAGAACTGCAGCCACGTTTAAAGGGAAGGCGGGGCGGGGAGGAGAAAGACACTAATTTAGACCCACTCGGATGACTGTTTTATTCATGCTATTTCCAGGAAGGGATGTCAGAGCTGGACCAGTCTACACTCTTGGAGGCTTCTCCGTCGGCCAAGGGGTGCTGTCGGCCTGCTTACGGGTCCTCGATGTCGAGAAACTCCTGCTTGGGGGGCGCCGCTCCACGGTACCACGCGCAGGAGCCGTCATTTCTCTTGATGCAGGCGAAGAACTTGGCCTGGTGCCCGTTGATGCTCTTCTCCGTGACCCAGTCCATCCACAGGCACTCGTCCACGGAGGAGATGTAGCAGGGGATCATGGGGCAGCGCGTGATCTAGAGAGAGGGGCACGAGGAGGACTCAGCTGGGGACCGGGGCAGCTCGGGAGCGACTCCGGAGCCCAGCAACGCGACGGGGCAGAAGCGGCCAGGGGAGCTGGGGCCGCAGCCTTTCCTGAATGCCAGGCTCTACAAACAGCAGCAGGTGGCCCACCCGAGGGGAGAGGGGGCTGGGGGAGCCTTGTGCACCCCCTCTACACCCCCAGCCACTGCAGGTGCGCCTCTGCATTGGACCATCCGGTCTACCTTCTCTGGGCACAGCAAAGTGTCTGTACCGCAGCCCTTCCCTCCTGGCAGGAGGAGAGTAACAATGACAACAAAGGGTCTGCCATCTCCTGAAGAGACACGGGAATTGAATATGAAGGGCGTGTGTTGCCCGGCAGCTTTGGCTCAGCGGTCAGAGCTGCACAGACCAGGGGCGGAGGGTGAAAGGGAGCGTCTCGCTCCGGAGCAGCCCGGCTCAGAGGGGACCAGCACACAGCATTTGGGCGGAAGAAGCTGAGTCTCCAGGAGGGGGAAACCTTCACCGCCAAGGAAAGAAAAAAAAGAAACTTTTTTGGGAGGTTAATCCTCACCCAAAGATATTTTTCTTTCTTTTTATTAATTTATTTTTGTTACAGATGTTTCTTCTTCCGCCCCTCCAGACACCCTCCTCCCCATCCTGCCCTTTACCCTCCCAGCATGGTTGTCTATGTCCGTTGGTTACGCATACATGCATATAAGTTCTGTGGTTCGTCTCATCCATCACCCCCACCCCCGTCCCCCTCCTCTGAGGTTTGTCAGTCTGAACCGAATTCCAAAAATATTTTTCCATTGATTTTTATTTTATTAATTTTTTTTGGTTTTTTTTTTTTTTTGGTACGTGCCCCTAGTGGGAACCGAACCCAGGACTCTCTAGTCCGCAGGCCGACGCTCCAACCGCTGAGCCAAACTGGCCAGGGCGTTTCCACTGATTTTTAGATAGAGCGGAAGGGAGGGCGAGAGAGAGAAACATCGATGTGAAAGAGACACATGGATTGGTTGCCTCCGCATGAGCCCGATGGGGGCCAGGGATCGCACCTGCAACCCAGGTACATGCCTTTGACTGGAAATGGAACCCGAGACCCCTCGGTCCGCAGGCCAATGCTCTAACCACTGAGCCAAACCGGCCAGGGCCGGAGGAACCTGTTTGCGATTCTGTCTTGGGCACCGAGGAGTTGGGAGCTGTGGGTCAGAATCCTCATTTCGAATGAACTGAGGGCCGGGGCTGGTGATGACCTACAAGGACTGGCAGGAGGGCCGCACCCAGCGCCAACTACCACCGGCCACGCCCGCCAGCCACACAGGCTCACGCCTGGCCCAGCACCTTCTGGGCTGATGCTCACCAGGGTGACACGGAGGGGCGCCTGGTCCCCAGCAGGGAGTCCGGTGATAGGCCGGCCAGAGGGAGGGTGACGACAGGACCCAGGCGTGGGGCCATGCGGGACACTCTCCCTGTGCTCAGCACAACCTCGGGCGGCTTTGTAACGAGGGGCCTGGGGTGTCTGGCGTTCTCGACACACAAGCTCACATTTACAAGGACCCATGCGAGGAAAGGACTGAGGTGGGTAAACAGGGAACACCTGGGGCCCTTCCACAGAGCACGGCCTTCACACCTGTACCTGTGCAGAAGCTGCTCGGAGGACCACGTCCTCCCCACGAACTCCTCCTAGAAACTACGGGCCACACGGCCAAACACCCTCGGCAGGAGCACGTCTCCGGACTGCCCGGACCAGGGCCCAAAGGCTCTGCCCACGCCAGACAGCTCGCCCATGGGAGGCCACACAGGCTGTGCTAAGTCAGGACCCTGGACACCGAGAGGCCCAGGAAAGCCGGGGACCAAACTCCGGCGTCCACCTGGAGGCGGTGGCTTACCTTGCACTCACAGCCCATCTGGTACCTGTGGTTCAGGCTCTTCTTCTGGGTGGTGCTCAGGGTGTCCCAGGGCACGATGAAGTCACAGAGGGTGACGTGCATCTTGCCGTTCCCCTCGGCCTTTCCTGAGGAGACAAGGGACCACCGAGGTCAGCTCGGGCACGTGGAAGTTCAGTTCTACCGATACCACGCGTTACGGGCTGAGTCGTGTTCCCCAAATCCACAGAACGAAGCCCCGACCCCCAGCACCTCAGGATGTGAGTGTATTTGCAGAGATCGTCTTTAAAGAGGTGATTTAGTTAAAATGAGGTCACACGGGTGGGCTCGGATCCAACCTGACTGGTGTCCTTATGAGATCAGGACACAGACACACACAGAGGGACGGCCCTGGGAAGTCACAGGGAGGGGACGCCGTTTACACGCCAGCAGGAGGCCTCGGGGGCAAACGACCCTGCCCACACCTGGACCTGGGACCTCCGGCCTCCAGGACTGAGGAAGTACACGTCTGTTGTTTAAGCCTCGCCATCTGGGGTACATGTCACAGTAGCCGAGGGGACTGCCGCACCCGGGAGTCTTCACTGATGTCCGAGAATGCGAGGCCCGCTGTGGGCAGCTGAAGAGCTGCAGCAACCAGTAAAAACAAACCTCTGCGACGTGCCTTACACACGGCTGACATTCTGACCTAAGCCCTCCCGACAGGGTTTTACGCACACGCACTGACATGAACGATCACGTTGTAGGTGAGATTAGACTGTTCCCCGTTTCACTTGTCAGCAAATGTTTATTCACGAGCTCACTCTCCATTTGCCGTTGAACGGGGGCTCCCGGGCTTTCGCATCCTGGACAGGAAACCCCCGGGGCGCGATGCAATTGGAAGTCTGCTCCGAAGTCCCTTCCTGGGGCGCGGAGGCGCTGGTCCCCGCTGGTCCCCGTGCCCCCAGCTCCTGGCTCAGCTCCCTCGCTGCCTCTGCCGAAGGGCTCGCGCCGCTGGGGCGCTGGCTCGAGCCCAGCAGGAAAAAAAGACGCACGAATGATAGAACCTAATGAGGGCTACGGAGGCCATTTAAAACCTCATCCCTCCTGCTAGGATGGCACCTTGTCAGGAGACACAGAAACACCCAGCAATGATCTGGAGCCTGGCAGAGGGTGCTGGGCAGACAGGAGCCTCGGGCCCCGGAGTTCTGCGTGAGGAAACCTGTGAACCCAGCTCAGTGACCGCAGGCACATCGATCCACGGACAGAAACGCACTCGGTGAGGCCGTCACGTGGCTTGACGGCGGCATCCGCACCACGCAGAAATGAACTCACCACGGGACGTTCGGATCGGCTGGCATGAGGCTGGGAGTGGGCACGAGGGGCATCCCGTGCTGGGCAGGCTGCGGGCAGCCCTCTCTTGGCTGTTGCCTCTGTTGTTTTTGGTTTTTTTTTAATCCTCACCCGAGGACATTTTTCCATTTTTTGTTCAGATAGAATGGGAGAGAGAGTGAGGAAGAGAGAGAGAGAAACATCGACGTGAAAGGGACACATCAAGTGGTTGCCACCCGCATAACCCAACCAGGGCTGGGGACAAACTGCAACCGAGGTATGTTCCCTTAGTGGGAACCGAACCCGGGTCTCTCTGGACTGCAGGCCGATGCTCTAATCACTGAGCAAAACCGGCCAGGGCAACTGTTGCCTCTGTTTTTACTACTCCTTAGCTTTGGGGCTGTTTTTCCTTCTATCTGTCGGGACTTGTATGACATTCCAGAGGAAGAGATGTATCAAGCTGCAGGGTTAGCTGCTACAGTATTTATCCTGAGTCCTACTAACTGACAAAAAGCAGTGTTTGGGTGGCCTTCAACGCTTCAAGGAGAGGTATTTGACTTTTTTCTAGACCTGCGGCCATTTCCTGCGAGTTCAGAGTATCTAAGGAAGGAGCATAGCCGGCAGACGGCAAGAACCTCGCTTCCATATCCTGGTTTCTTCCGGCATCGTTACCCTGCGGTGGACGGCAGCCCCTCCGTGCCCAGCCTGCTCATTCATACGCACAGGGTGAGCGCCATTCTGGCTCCGCTCAACAGCTCCTAGAGAATGGCTACATATCCTTGACTGGCATCAATATCCGCTTTCTTTGTTCCTTTTTAAAAAAATGGGGGTTTTTTTGAGAGAGAGAGGAAGGGAGAGAGAGATAGAAACATCAATCTGCTGCCTCCTGTACATCCCTTACTGGGGATCAAGCCTGCAACCCAGGTATGGGCCCTGACTGGGAATCGAACCGGGATCTCTCAGTCCATGGGGCGATGCTCAGCCACTGAGCCACACTGACCGGGCGTTGTCTTTCTTCTGCATCTTGGTCTCTACCCACACCATAAGCGTAAAGGTGAAGGTTGTGTCTCAACCCTTTCTTAGCCACAGCTCCTTGCCCATAGTAACTGCTCAATAAAAGTTTACCGATGGCCCTGGCCGGTTTGGCTCAGCGGTCAGAGTGTCGGCCTGCGGTCCAGAGAGACCCGGGTTCAATTCCCGCTAAGGGCATGTACCACAGTTGCAGTTTGTCCCCGGCCCCGGTTGGGTCATGTGGGAGGCGACCACTCGATGTGTCCCTTTCACATCGATGTTTCCTGATGGCCCTGGCCGGTTAGCTCCAGAGGTTGGAGTGTAAGACCACAAACCAAAGAGTCACGGGTTCGATTCCGGTCAAGGGCACGTACCTCGGTTGTGGTTTGGTCCTCGGCCCTGGTCGGGGTCGTGCGGGAGGCAACCAGTCGATGTGTCTCTCTCGCATCAATGTTTCTCTCTTTCCTTCCCCTTCCCACTCTATCGGAAGATAAATGAAAAAGTGATAAATGGAAAAGTGTCCTCAGGTGAGGATTAAAAAAATTTTTTTAAAATATAAATAAGTTTACTGATGATGACGTGGGTATTTGTTCTAACAATCTGCTTCATTATCTGTCTTTTTTTTTTATCAGTCTCCCCTCTTCACCTTCCCACCACCAATTCAAGCTTCCGCAGAAGGCAGGCAAAGGCAGGATGAGGCTAAGAAATGCAAACTGTATCTTTTTAACGGCCTGGTTGCTGGGCCAGCTCCAGCTTTGGAGGCGGTGCATAGATGGAGTAGCATCTCCGAACGTTAAAAGAAGACCCCTTCCGGAAGAGATCTTCAGTCGTCCTCGGGTATGCATGACTCGAGCATCTGTTACAACGTTCTACTTCTGTCTGCCTCAGAGAAAAGCAAAGTCTTTCTTGGATACAGAAAAACAGGAATTAATTAAAACCTGGAACTGAGGGTTGTATGTTTATCTTTCCTATTGGCGGAGAAGAACATTATAGGGCCGATTCCGTATGAGTTCTTGAACACGAGTGCCCAACTCGACATGCGGAGGTGAGTCATCAGCCTCCAAGGAGGGGCGCTGCCTCGGGCCATGAGGTCACTCCAGGGCCACAGCCAGCGCCGGCGGAGGGCCTCCCTGCACCCCGTGATCTCTGGCTGGTCTGTCCTGACTCCACGAGAGAATTTATTTATTTTTTTATTATTATTCTTTTTTAATCCTCACCCGAGGATATTTTTCCATCAGATGGAGTGGGGGGGAGGAAAGGAGGAACGGAGGATGAGAGGAAGAGAAAAACATCACTGTGAGAGAGACACATCGATTGGTTGCCTCCCACACAACTAGGGACGACCCGCAACCGAGGTACATGCCCTTGGCCGGAATCGAACCAGGGATTCCTCAGTCTGCGGGCCGACGCTCTAACCGCTGAGCCAGACCGGCCAGGGCCAGGAGAGGATTCAGAATCTGTGTTTTCGACGGTCAACGCCAGGTTTCATCCGGAGCTGTCATCGAGCCCAGGGAAGAGGTCGGACTGGACAGGTTCCTCTGCAGGCAGCGAGTCCCCAGCATTAGCAGTGCCTCCATGACCAGCCAGGAAACCGACCACAAAGAGCCACAGAATATGAAAATGATGCCTTTTGTAAGGGAGGTGACAGACCCTGGCATGGGCACCGCCCTCCCGATCGTGTCTGGACCCAGAGCAGGGAAGGCTCTCAGTCCTGGCTGCACACCAGACTTTCCTGGGGAGCTCTGAGAATGCGGATGCCCTGGGCCCCAGCCACAGAGAGGCTGGAATTGGTCCAAGGTGCGGCCTGAGCATCCGGATCCTTGCACACCCCACCCTGTGGATCTCTAACGAGCAGCACAGGTGGAGGGCCTCTGGGTTAGGTGTGGGGCAGGGAGCCCTCTACACCTGGATGAATGGACAAAGTAGCAGGGGGATAGCCCCAGGAGCCAGGACGACCAGGGTCTGAATTCTAGCTGCACCGCAGCCGGCAGCGTGACCCAGGTATGCTGAGAAATGTCGACCGCCTGGCTCTCCTGGGAGGACACGCTCCAGGGGGTAGCACCTGCCAGTTTCCATAGTGTACGCACTTCCGCCCGGGCTGATTCTGAGCCACCACCGACATCAAGCGAAATTTAACGCTGGTGCGTGAAAATGAGGTCAGCACACACTGCATGCTTGGGGCACACTGCTCCACCTCCCTAGTCCTCGGTTTTCCCCACCTGTGAAATGGGGATAGTAACAGCACCTTCATCGTCAAGGGTTGTGAGAATTAAATAGACTCAGCATGAAGAACATTTGGAGAGCGTCTGTCCGTGCCAGGAAAAGGGGACCCCGACTTCCAGTAACAGGGAGGTGTGAAGCCTGTCGCAGAGGGCTTACCACTAGGAGCCCACGGTGACGGGAACCCAGCCCTCCCTCTTGGTACGAATTGCTTCCACAGCTCTGCAGTTTGCCCAGACAGCCCCTAGAGGGCGGTGTGCGGAGCCTGAGCAGGACCCAGGCTCTCGCGTCAGCGTGTGGGTCCCCCTGGACCAGCACAGAAAGAGACCCTGAAGCCCAGAAGGCGCTGACTTGCTACGGCAACAAGTCCCCTGCACCACAAGAGGTTCTGTCTCCTCTCCAGATCGTACTTTTCCGATCATTAAAGTAATAGATGGCATCATCTGCAAAACTGCGCTGACACAGGAAAGTAGAAAAAGGGGGACACGGGCGATGATGAGAAGCGGGCCGCCTTCCTGCCGTGTTCCGGGTACTGGCGCGGCCCTCCTAGCCCTGCAGATGCCCGCGCCTGCACCGTGGGCGCCAGCGCCCTCTGCCTTTGCGGCGGGGTCAGGGTGTCCGATCTCTGCACCCTGGGTGTTTTGCCACCGCACCCCTCTCCACTGGGTGTCGTTTTTCTTATAAAAATAGGAGGCACGGGAGTGGAAACGGGTGCTGCTGCTTTGGAAAACGTCTGACAGTTCCTCGGATGGTTAAACAGAGTCGCCATATGTCTCTCGATTCCGCTCCTGAGTGTCTACCCAGAGAAATGAAAACACACGTCCACGCAGAAACTTGGGCATGAATGTTCAGAGCAACTCTATTCACAATAACCAAAAGGTGGGAACAACCTCGGCCGGTGTGGCTCAGTGGTTGAGCGTCGACCCTGCACCAAGAGGTCGCCAGTTCAATTCCTGGTCAGGGCACATGCCCAGGTTGTGGGCCAGATCCCCAGTGGGGGGCGTGCAGGAGGCGGCCAGTCGATGTTCTTTCTCATGGATGTTTCTGTCTCTCTCCCCCTCTCCCTTTCTCTCTCTAATAGCAATAAAGAAAAAAAATTATGCCCTGGCCAGTTTGGCTCAGCGGTTTGAGCATCGGCCTGCGGTCCGGAGAGACCCGGGTTCGGTTCCCGCTGAGGGCATGTACCTCGGTTGCAGTTTGTCCCCGGCCCTGGTTGGTCGTGCGGGTGGCAGCCACTCGATGTGTCCCTTTCACGTCGATGTTTCTCTCTCTCTCTTTCTTCCCCTCTCTCCCTCCCGCTCTATCTGTGCAAAAAATGGAAAAATGTCCTCGGGTGAGGATAAAAAAAAAAAAGAGAAAAAAAATTATATATAAAAAAATCTCCCATCATCCCCAAGGAGAGGAGCCAATGTCTTGATGTGGCAACAAAGAAACCAGGGCAGCAGGCGCTGGGCAGGAGCACTAGAGGCAGGAAGGGCGGAATGACCCAAGGACAGACGGCAGGTGTCTTCCTCCCTCGGTGACCTCCTGGGGCACAGCCAAGATCAGCCCCTTCTCCGGAACTACATCTGGATTCTTGGCCGGCAAGGGTCTCTCCCTTTATGTACCTGTGCAGCACTGACTAGCTATTCCATTTGTCCCCACGCAAAATCAGTCTCGTCTTCTCTCATTTCTTCTCCTGGACCCCACACCCAGCATGACCGAGTGTGAGCGTCCCGCCTGCAGGGGCCTGGGGTCTCCTCCTGAGCCCCCGCTGCACCGAGCACAGTGCGAGGCACTCACGGACATCTGCCAAACATGGGCTGATTTCTGAATACTCTGAATGGGAGGGGAAAAGGTACATGTACCCTAAGCGGAAGGAACTCCCCCAATTCCTGTCTCTCCCTTCCTCTGAAGTCTGTCATCTGACTCCCTGGGAAGGGACCAGGAGTGGCCCTCACGGACCGACATAGCACCAGCCGGTCCAGCAGCCACCACCCAAGCGAGGCTGTTTACACGGACACCCACTCGATGGACACAAAGTAAATAAAGCTCAGCTCCTCAAGTGCACTACCCCTAGTCATGGGCCTGTGAGCTCGGCCGCGTGTGGCCGCCACCCTGGACAGCAGAGCATTCCCGTCCTCGCTGGGTCTGTCATAGACGAGCGGGTCTCAAGCCCAGCAATTCTGCCCCCCAGGAGGCACCTAGTGATGTCTAGAGACCCCACAATCAGGGGGAGGGTGTTCTGGCAGTTAGTGGGACGTGCAGCTGCGTCCTACAATGCACAGGGCAGCCCCATGACAAAGGATGGTCTGATCCAAAATGTAAACAGTGCCGAGGTTGGGAAACCCTGCTCTGAACTCCTGGGGGGGCAGGCAGCTGGGGTAAGACGTAAAGGGAAGCGCTTGTATTTAAGAATACAGCATTTAACAAGCAGATGCAACAATAAATACAACAGGGTCCGTCCAGACAGTGGAGTATTACTCGGCCTTGAAAAAGGAGGGCTCCTGACCCATGCTATGACATGGATGGACCTTGAGAACACTGTGCTCAATGAAACAAGGACAAATAGTGTGCGATCCCACTTCCACGAGGGACCCAGAGCAGTCAGATGCAGGAGACAGGAAGAAGGGCGGGTACAGGGTGGGGGGGAAGGAACAGGGGTGCTGGTGTTTGATGGGGTTCAGTTTGGGACGATGAGAAAGGCTCTGGAGATGGGTGGGGTGATGACGGCACAGCAATGTGAGCGAATGTGCTTGATGCCACGGAACCGTGCACTTAAAAATGGTCAAAATGGTAAAGTTTATGTTCTGTGTATTTCACCACAATAAAAAATAGAGATAGGCTGACCAAAGAGGCCGGTGCATAATAATAGCAACAGATTTAAAACAAAGTGTCAGTTCTCCCTCGCCTCCTGCCCAGCCTGGACTGTTCCCAGCATCTTCACAACAAAAGGCAGAGTTCTCCGCTCTGTCTCCACCTGACCTCAGGACCCTACTGGTTACTTTGTTTCTCCCATCAAGCCCCGTGGTTCCACTGCTGGGGAATGTCAGGGTGGAGGGTGGGGAGGTGGAGGCCCCTAGGAATTCTCCCCCGGAAGGCCTGAGATTCCACCGCTGCCTCCCACGCTCCCCCCTCCCCGCCCACCTCCACGCACGCACCTGCGATGAGATACTCCTTCTTCCCTCCAACGTCCAGCGAGACCCCGCAGATGGCGGACGAGGGCGCTGTGTAGATAAACTCAATGTCCTTTTCGGGTCCTTTGAACATCTGGAAAGACGAAGAGGAGCGAAGGTCAGCGGAGCGGTTGCACAGCCTCGATTCCACGCCCCCCTGGCGTGGCACGGTCCCTCCTGCCCCCGTGGCCAGCCGGCACGGAGAGGGGGACAGACGCAGACCAGTGAGACGGATAAAGGACAGCCGTTCCCCCTGCAAGGTGACTCTTTGGAGTCATTCATGGCTCAGTGTGGCTGCTGTCACAGGTGGGGCACAGCACTGTCACCTGCAGGGACCCGTCTAGGACAACACCTGTGCTCTCCCCGCCACCAGTGAGGTCATTTCAGAGTCTGCGAGGGGCTGTGTCTCCGGGGGGCTGTGACCCCTCCTAGAGGACCACCACCTCCATACACGTCCAGGGTTTGGTCAAGCACTGCTCCTTGACCCGAGCAGAGGCACCCCTGGATCGGGATGCTACCCCTGGGCAAGGGGGTCAGCTCAACTGCTCACTGATGCGGAGCCTCTTGGAACACGCCGGCTGCCCAGAGCACCGACACAGGGGGACCCAGCCTCACCCCAACCCTTCCGCAGCTCGGCCCGCCAGAGGGAGCCCGGCCCCGCCCTCACCTTTATCTGCTTGATCTCATACTCGACCCTCTTGATGGGGTTCCCGTAGATGTCATTCCCGGAGCCCACCTCCTTGTGACTGACCACCTTGGCCCTGATCACTGCAAAACACAAAGACACAGGTTAGCAGCGTCCCACAACCCGTGCTGGCTCCAAGGATGTGCACGGGACAACAGTGAGGTGGGGGCGCGGGGACCCCAGCCCCCGCAGGGCCGTGGGCGCCAGCCAGCCGGGCAGGCGGGCCGAGAGGTGATGGGAGACGCCTCCTGGTTCCGAGCAGAGCCCTGGCCCCTCTGCCGGCAGATTCTGACTCGAACTCGGCTCTGTGCGCTGGCTGGCCCGAGTGCCGGGGCTCTTCGTTCTCTCCAAGGTGCATGTCGGGGTGCGGGAGCACCCGACCGGCCTGGGTGCTGGTCACGAGTTCGATGCTGGTATGGCCCCGACCCGCCCTCCCGCCAAACGCCTTCTTCTGGCTGAAGCGGAGGGGTCGGTCCCATCAGATTCAGGTTTGGGGGTCTTGAGTCCAAAGGGCCTATCCCACTGACCTCCGAATCTGTCTTAAAAGCGTCCCCAGAGAATGTCCTGCGGATGCTTCTGTGCAGTGACAAGTATTTGTTGGGCACCACCGAGGGGTCAGAGCGTTTTAATCGAAAGGGCATGGAGCTGGCCGAGAGCGCGGACATGGCCGGACGAAGGGACAGATGCCGAAGGAGGCCCAGCGGAGAGAAAGGTGATCACGGACCAGGACGCAAGAGGAAGGACGGGGAAGAGGTCGGGCTGGAAAGGCTCCAGAATGTTCCCGGGCGCAGGAAGCTGCTGGGGGCCACGCACCACAGGGCTCCCGACCAGCCGTGGAACCAGGCCTCCGCCACAACCCGTAACCCACGAGTCACGATCAGCAGCCCCCGCTGGCCCTGGGCAGAGCCTTCCCTGTTCTCCCTCCGAGGCCTATCGGCCGGCACCACAGAGGGTCCTCATGGCTTTCAAAGCTTCGCCCGCGAAGTGCAGCTGTGCGAGGTCACTCTGGGTGAGCGGCACGTCAGTGCGGACGTGAGGGAAATCGAAACAAGGAGCGGACCGCTCCGGCGCCCGGGAGCGTCCCACCTCCCCCCGGGGGGCAGCTCGGATCCCAGGAACCGCAGGCCAGGCCACCTTTTCCCGCAGAACAGGGGGCCCCAGGCATGTGGATGTCCTGTCTGTGCCCATCCCCCCGGACACCGGAGTGCTCTCTCAATCTCAGCCTGGTACCAGAGTCCCCGGCCGCGGCCCCAGCACCCGCCCCGGCCCAAGCCCCATTCTTCTTTCTTCGGTTGGAGCTGAGTCACCAGGGCCCAGGCCACAGGTTCCTGTTTCCCAACCTGGGCCAGTTCCCCACCTGCAAAGCCACCTCCAGGAAATGCCACCCAGCGGGCCACCCCGGAACAAAGGGCTTTGCCCTTGGTCATAGGTCACCGTTTCCAGCATCTCCTCCCACCCCCAGCACCAGGTGTCTTTTTAGGGTCACATCCCTTCCAGCTCAAACATCCATCTTGGCTGCCACTGCCCTCGTCTGAAACAAAAAAAACGCTTTGCAACCTGGTGTCAGCCAATGGTTATTTCTGCTGCCTTGGTGGCCCCCGCCTTGCTGTTCTGTTCCATCAGTCCCCAATATTCCCCCAAGCCTGGACCTGCCCAGGGGTGTCCCCATCTCTGGACAGGCATCTTTCTTCTGCCCCGAATGCTATCCCCTACTGTCAGCATGGAGAACTCCTATTCATCCTTCAAAGCCCAGTTAAAATTGCCCTTTCTGGTTTCCCTCTGGGGAAAGCTGTCCCATGGCGTATTCCGCATCTCTCGTCCATTCTGCTGTAAACACGGTGTACTCCTGTCTGCTCTGGGAGCTTCTAACAGGCCACAGGACATAGTGCTCAGACGTTAGCAAATGCTTGCGGAACCTGAGATACCTGGGTTGGCAGCCTGGGATACTTCGGTTGCCTTTGGTCCACCCCTCTTCCTGCCTGCCTGCCCTATACCTCACTGCAGTCCTGCACAAAACAGCGCTTACACAAACCAGGCAACGGACCAGATTCACCGTCGTAAGCGTTCCCTTCTGTGGCGCTGTCATCGGCTCACGACGCCGAATGAACCGGGACCAGCCCAAGGAGACAGCGGTTCTCGGAGGAACGCCGCCACCGGGTGTGCCAGGGTGCACCCCGTCCTGCACGCTCTTCGGAACACCCCGAACCTGCTTCACAGAGGCCCACTCCCACGCCACACAGCGCACAGGCGCTCAACGGACGCCGGCGGGGACCGGAAACAAGCAAAATCGACTGTCAAACAGCCGCAAGGTTCCATTCTGTCTGGGCACTGAGGTCCTTGCATCTTTCCCTACAAAAGCCCCCAAGGCTCCCAGGCAGTCTAAGGAACCATTTGAAAGGGACAATACGGGTCAGCCCGCTGACCAGAGAGTGCCAGGTTCGGTTCCCGCTAAGGGCACGTACCTCGGTTGCAGTTTGTCCCCAGCCCCAGCTGGGGTCATGTGGGTGGCAGCCAGTCAATGGGTCTCTCTCACGTCAATGTTTCTCTCTTCCTCCCTCTCTCCTTCCTGCTCTATCTGAAGATAAATGCAAAAGTGTCCTCCGTTGAGGATAAAAAAAGAAAGGGACAATACGGAGCCAGGTCCCACCTTGCCCCCTCGGAGCTTGTGGTCTCAGGGATGACGTAGCGCCATGCCCGGAACGCAGACACCACCAGTACCTCCCACCATCAGGCCGGGAGGACCGGAGACCGGGGATGTGACAAGGGCCTGGCACAGAGCCACATCTAGCTGAGGACGACAGAGCCAGAGGGCACTGTAGGAGACAGATGAGACCCCTCCCCATCCCTGGGCAAGAGCTGCCCAGGTCCAGAGAGCCCGCCTGGTTGGCTCGAACCCCAAGCCTGGGTCTGATGCAGCTCCTGGACGTATCTGCTTTGTTTGGGGCTACAAACCACACGCTTTCTTTTTGCAAACGGTCAGCAAAGGAGAGACGGGGTGGATCCAGGGACCAGGGCAGACTCGTGGGGTTGAGACCCGACCGCTAGCTGGCACCGAGGCGGCCAGTGACGTGCCAGGACCGGGGCAGGGGCCAGGAGGGTCTCTGACTCAGCTGGTCCATCAAGAACGAGAATTCAGATTCTTCAGGGTCTCTCTGGATTCTGGGTGGGAACCTCCTCCCCGCTTTGCAAAAGGAGACATGATAAGAATAAAGAGAAGGGCCAGTCCCAGGGAAACTGTCCCCAAAGCACCAAAACCTTCCAGACATGGAGGGCTGGGCACACACCTGTCCCGAAGGTGCCAGGGAATGACCATCTGGGGTGAGCCCCGGGTGTGGGAAGCTTTGGAAATGATCCATCCTGACCCTAGGGCTCTAGGGGTGAATAAGGAGGCCCGAGGGGGAACTGGACGAATGGGCCACCTGTGGTGGGGCGGGGGGGTCATGGTGGACCCCACCTCTGACCCTCGCCTTCTGTCCCAGCAGGAGGTGAGGTGTGGGAGGTCTTCAGTGTCAAGCCTGAACGTCAGGAGCATCCAAGCCGGGCGAGGAGACGCGACAGACAGGAACACCAGCAGCACTTCGCCAGTGGTGGGAGGGGGGAGGCGGGGGACCCCCTGGAGATGCATCTGCTGCCCCCAAGTGGCGGGCATCCCGGCGAGCTCCGGGTGGAGGCCACACCAAGCGAGGGAGGGGCTGCTCTGGGTCTCAGGTCACTGAGGGAACAGGGCCGGGGAAAGGCAGAGAGACCCAGAGAAGCCGGGAAGAAATTAAAATCCAGGCCTGGACATGTGTTGACCAAACACACATACGTGCTGGGCCTGGCATCTGGCCCAAGGGTGGGGGATCGGCCCATGTCCTGCCCCTCGCCCCGGGAGAGGGCTGCTCCGCTCTACCGCCCCCCGCAACCGCAGGAGCCCGGGAAATAGGAGGGAGAGTCTTCATCGAGATTCGTGTTCTGCTTTGCTCCCCAAAATGATGGCTTCTCCTCGGACTGCTCAGAGTGCGTTTTCTTCTCTCCCTTCTCAACATCTGGGTTTGAGATCAAGGGTGATACACTGGCTGATGAATTCACCGCCAGATGTCGGCTACTGGAATGCACAACCGTCCACTTAATTCAAAGCACACGCAACCGCAGAGCCCCGCCCCCCCTCCCCGGGCCACGGACACCACATGATGTCACTTCCCCCTGCTAGCAGCCTGCAAAAACAATCCCCGGTACAGCCGCCAGGTTGGCGACGGAAAAGAACTGGGCGGGTGGAAAGTCAAGATCACGGATGATGATCCAAAGAACACAGGCCACATTTAGACTGTGAGAGATGTCAACCACCCAGGGAAAAAACAACGCAGGCCAGACCGTCCTGCCGCTGTCCTGAGGGGCAGGGGACAGCGAGGGGGCTTGCCAGAAACCTTGGTGTCCCCAGCACACGCTGCGGCTTGGGCCAGCCCAGGCTGAGACGGTGTCTCCTCCCACATCCCACCAACACCTCGGAGTCCTGCCGGGTCCTGGAAGTTCCTGGGGAAGCCAGGAGACCAAGAACCAGCTATGTTCATACCCTCTGGGCAGCCAGACCGGCAAGAAAACTGCCCGGGAGTTGGTTTATGCCACACGCTCTCTTTATTATCTTGCCTTCCCCGGTGGCACCGCCCTGCTGGGCACAGGCTCCCAGCACCAAGGACAGGTACACCCGTGGCTTTCAACACGTGACTCCCGGACAGTCGCGGCCTCGTGCCCACGCGCCCTGCAAACACGGACTCGCAGCCCCCGTGCCCGCTGAGACAGAGGTCTGGCGGAGGGAACATCACGTGTTTGCCCAGAAGAGGTGGGAGAATCCCAGGATTCGGAAAAACATCCGTCTCGTGCAAGGTCAAAATCCGGCCCTGGATCATCTGAGCTTTCCATGGGCGCTGACTCAGGCTGGCAGGGCTGGCTCAGAGCGGAGAGGGCACTGTCCCCGCCCAGCCCACCTCCTGAAGCCTCCAGCTTGGACCTGGGACCTGGGACGTGGGTACAGGCAGGGTCGGTGCTCTGGGGTTCTGGTCACAGCCCTCTGGGAAACGCCCAGGGGTCCCTCCGATGAGGCTCC